ATGGGTCATGACTTTTTCCAACCACCCAATAGTATGCACACCTCTTGAATCTTTTTCAGGAAACAGTTTCCCCAGCATCCCTGCTGCTGCCATTTTCATCATTCCGTGCAGCCCTATCAGTAGGATTTGTGAGTTTCCTTGCCTTGGTTTCCTGAATGAATTCCCACATGCTTATGGCAACTTACCCCACTCTAACCTCCCATCTAGATTCAGTTGGTGGTCTCTTCTTCATACATTTCACTCACCAGTTACTTCCATTTCCATTCTTGAAGCTTGCCCTGGGGGCAGGTGAAGAGTTTGGGACTCACCCCTGCTGCTTTTAATAATCCTAGCAGCAACAGTCATTGGACCAATCTGGCACTTAGTAAATGTCAGGCCATCTTATTAGAGGGTTCCTGATGTTTGGCTGTCACCTATGTGGCTGCAAGAGGTAGATGACTTAGCTCCTTGTTTCCTGCCCTCCTAGGGGGAGCTGCCACACTGCCAGTAAGCATACACATTGTCCTGTGTGAAGGAAGTCTAGTCAAGGGGTGTTTACATAGAATGTGGTGTAAGAGCGCATGACTGCAATCGTTGTCTGAGGCTCATTGGAGCTCAGGGAAGAGTGAGAATGAGGCTAACATATGTTGAGTATTGATCTGGCAGGCTCTGCTCTAAGGCTTCACGTGGATCAACTCACTTAATATGTGTTAAATAGTGCATGTAAAGTGCTTAGAACAGAATGATGCACAAGTCATGTTCCTTACTGCTGTTTTTTCCTGCAGTTCTTGCAATAACCTCATAGGTTTGGTCTCTATTTATTGCTATTCTGTTGATGAGATAACCAACTGAGGCTTGGAGTAGTATTGGTAGTAACAGCGAGGCCCTATTCCCTGAGATTCTGATGTAGTTGGTCTGGGCTGGCAGGGTAGTCTCCGTGGCAGTATGAAAGAGGGGTGGAGAGCAAACCCAGACTTTCTGAAGGAAAGTCTCTAAGCAACAGTTTTACTTAGAGATTCATCAAGGAACAGAAAGGGGATAATGTTCTAGGCAAGGATGCAGCATGGGGAACCCAGAATGAAGAAGGAAAGAAGGGTCATGATGCTTTACCAGGACTAGAATGGTCAAGAATGCTTAAGAAGGGAGACATGAAGCCAAGATTAGGTAATATGTGAACACATTTAAAAAGTTTGTATTAAAAATGATAGGAATCCATGGGACCAGCAGTTGGCATAATGGCTGTGTTGCTGGACTCCCACCTGCTGCTGCCATTTTCATCATTCCGTGCAGCCCTATCAGTAGGATTTGTGAGTTTCCTTGCCTTGGTTTCCTGAATGAATTCCCACATGCTTATGGCAACTTACCCCACTCTAACCTCCCATCTAGATTCAGTTGGTGGTCTCTTCTTCATACATTTCACTCACCAGTTACTTCCATTTCCATTCTTGAAGCTTGCCCTGGGGGCAGGTGAAGAGTTTGGGACTCACCCCTGCTGCTTTTAATAATCCTAGCAGCAACAGTCATTGGACCAATCTGGCACTTAGTAAATGTCAGGCCATCTTATTAGAGGGTTCCTGATGTTTGGCTGTCACCTATGTGGCTGCAAGAGGTAGATGACTTAGCTCCTTGTTTCCTGCCCTCCTAGGGGGAGCTGCCACACTGCCAGTAAGCATACACATTGTCCTGTGTGAAGGAAGTCTAGTCAAGGGGTGTTTACATAGAATGTGGTGTAAGAGCGCATGACTGCAATCGTTGTCTGAGGCTCATTGGAGCTCAGGGAAGAGTGAGAATGAGGCTAACATATGTTGAGTATTGATCTGGCAGGCTCTGCTCTAAGGCTTCACGTGGATCAACTCACTTAATATGTGTTAAATAGTGCATGTAAAGTGCTTAGAACAGAATGATGCACAAGTCATGTTCCTTACTGCTGTTTTTTCCTGCAGTTCTTGCAATAACCTCATAGGTTTGGTCTCTATTTATTGCTATTCTGTTGATGAGATAACCAACTGAGGCTTGGAGTAGTATTGGTAGTAACAGCGAGGCCCTATTCCCTGAGATTCTGATGTAGTTGGTCTGGGCTGGCAGGGTAGTCTCCGTGGCAGTATGAAAGAGGGGTGGAGAGCAAACCCAGACTTTCTGAAGGAAAGTCTCTAAGCAACAGTTTTACTTAGAGATTCATCAAGGAACAGAAAGGGGATAATGTTCTAGGCAAGGATGCAGCATGGGGAACCCAGAATGAAGAAGGAAAGAAGGGTCATGATGCTTTACCAGGACTAGAATGGTCAAGAATGCTTAAGAAGGGAGACATGAAGCCAAGATTAGGTAATATGTGAACACATTTAAAAAGTTTGTATTAAAAATGATAGGAATCCATGGGACCAGCAGTTGGCATAATGGCTGTGTTGCTGGACTCCCAAGTAGTCCACTGTGGTTCGAGTCCCGGGCCTGGTGGCTTAAACTTACACTGGGCATGTGTGCGTGCGTGCCTAAGTTCCTGAGAAGAGAATGGAAGAGAAGGGATTGAGGTGTAGCCATCCCCCCTGGGGGGGTGATTTCTCGCTTTCTCTCTGTCTCTGTCTTTTTGGCGAGCGCACATGCACTATAGCAAAAACCTCTCAAAAAAAAAAAAATGATAGGAATCCTTTTGGAGCTACTAAGCAAAGGAATGGCACCATCAGATTTTCACTTCAGAAAAGATGTCTTGAAATCTGTTGCCTTTGACTCTGGAGTTCTAGACTGCTGCTAGTTCTTTGTTTTAGCCAGGTCACATGGTTAGCGTGTTAAGCATTGTAACTTTGCCTCTAATTTTTCTTTCCATAGCTGATTAGCATACTGATTAAGAACCTCTCAAGAAATCCAAATTTAAACTCAAAAGTAAATTTCAGAACTTAACTCTACCCCGAACACTGTTTCTCTAATGCACAACTGAAGTTTTTCACTCCTTTCCCACCATGTCGATACTAGTTTCACTTGGCTTTCTCTGTGCAGGATATTGATGTTCTCAGTCCTGATACTTACTCATGTGACTTTCTCTGTTTTTTTGATGTATGCTGCTCTGCCACGCAAACTCCTTACCGCTCCGATTCCCACAGCCAGAAAACGTAGTCTTGGCTCTGAAGGTAAAATCCTTGTCTGCTGTTTTATGTTGTTCTTTGTCCAAATTAGCCAACACATAGCGGTACTCTTGTCAAAACTCCCTGTTCTCCACTGTTGTCAGAACTTTCTGTTCTTCCCTATTGTCTTCATCGTGATGATTTTTAACTTATTAATTTTTAATTTATTAATTGTATCTTTGTTTCTGCCATCTTTAGTCTTCTCTTTTAGTTTTAGTATTTCTTGAATGGATAGCAACACATCTCTATTTATTAAAATCTTGATTTTTATCTTTGATATAATCTATTAAGAGCTCAAAGATCCTCATGTATCAGCAAATAATCTAAGTACTGCCAGACCTTGGCTAGACTTTAGCCTAGAAGTGAACTCTTGAAGTGACATATCTTGTTCCTGATAATGTCTGGTATTTAGTCAGTAATTGGGAAGGTTGGGTATAAAATTTATATTAGGAGCTAAAATTAGTGCATTGAAAACATCTCAGAATACCTTCTCTCCTAGGTTTGAGTTCAGTGTCTCCTGGAATTTAGAAAGGATTTAAAATTCCTTTAAAAATAGTAAATAACTAGAATATTTGTTGAGAAATAACAAAATATAAGAGTTTAGTGTCTAGGGCTACCTTTTTTTTTTTTAAAAGATTTTTGCCATAGGGTGCCTGTGCTTGCTGAAGAGAGACAGACAGAGAGAGTGAGAGGGAGGGAAAATAAGAAATTACCCCCTCCCCCGAATGGATGGCCATGCCACAATCTCTTCTCTGTAGTCCCCTCTTGGGATTTTGAGCATACACACATATGAACCTGGTATGTTTTTCAAACTTCAGTGTCTAGGACTGTAGAATCGGCCATGTGGGAGTCCAGCTCCTTGAGCTTGCTGATCCTAGGGGTGGTTTCTAATTGACTACTGATGTTAGTCCTTAGAAGAGTTAAAGAATCAACTAATAATGACTCTTCTTGGATGTGGGTTAGGGGTTAGCTTAAACACTAGTTTGTACTTAAAGCAGGAAAATTTGGCCATGTCTTTTCAGCATTATGACCTTAATATTGAAGTAGATAATATTTAGGTGCCATGTCTACCTGATTAATAACCTTAAGTATTTGCTCATAGATTTAACTACTAGTTTTCAAATATTTACTATGTGGTAGACACTTGACTAGTTGTTTTCACATTAAAGCATTTAATTACCTGTCCATCACTATATCCTTTGAGGTTAATGCTAATGTAACATTTTGCAGTTTAGGAATCTTAGATGCCCCTACTGGGATGCAAATAGATTCTAACTCCAGTTTCAGAGCTTTATTCCAAGACATAACATTTGCTCCTAGGAGAAGACTTGTGTTTTGTTTCACTTTACTCAATTTGGCGTGAGAATCCATTGCTAAATAGCTTGTCCATTAGTTGCAAACTGCCAACCTGTATTTTCTGCCACTCTGCAAATATGAGTAACCACAAAATGAAATAGAATAAGGTCAGGTTTTATCATCCAATTGCATTAGTTTTTATTTATCTTGGAGTAAAGCCAGCAGTAATTATGAGGTGTATTTGGGTTACACAATTGTATCTAGAAGTAATGCTGGTTCTTGGGAAATTAGGAGCTCAATTCCTTGCTTTCTGTTTTAAGAAGGAACTTCAAAATGGAGCTGTATGGTAGTGCGTCAGTCTTGGAAAAGTTCATGGAAAATGTGTATTATGAAGGTGTGACTGGATTTCATAAACATTTTATACTGAAATAAACTCATACTTTCATTTTTCTACAAACTTTTTGAAGTCCCCTGTGTGTGTGCTTGTGTGTACACACATTAAGATTCAGCTTGTCATGGCAAATAGGTTTGAAAAAATAAAATGTGTCTGCGGTGGAATTTTTGACCTATTTTTCCTGACTGGATATGCTGTTTCTTTTGCTTGAATTGCAGGTTGTCTACTATGAAATGGGGATTATTATATGTGCTTTTCTGGGCCTGCTCTTTGTCATTTTTATGCCTCTGGTGGGGTATTTCTTTTGCATGTGTCGTTGTTGTAACAAATGTGGTGGAGAAATGCACCAGCGGCAGAAGGAGAATGGACCCTCCCTGAGGAAATGCTTTGCAGGCTCCCTTCTGGTGATTTGTATGATTATAAGGCAAGTAGAATCTTGGACAAGATGAATTGTGTTTTGGGGGGATGAAGAGTTGTTTGTGTTTTAACTATTAAACCCTTGACTTTAAATTAAGAAAACACGAAAGGGAAAACAAAAGTGCTTATCTAGGACAATTCAAAAAGAAGTGATCTCACCAGAAATTAGCTTTGTAATGAAGTTGCCCTAACACAGCCAGACTTTGGTATTTTTTCCCTTTGAAGTTGCCCTGATTAACTTTAGCTGTAGAAAGCATTTACCTCCCAGGACAACAGATCCTTCCTCCTAAATAGCTGTTTGGAGATAAGGCAGCATGCTGAAAGGCAGAACCTGGATTTACCAGTTGATTTCAAAAGGGATCTTGATGGATGGGTCCAGTCCCTGAATTTGAAAAATGAAAACATTGTTAAATTCAATTAACATCCTAATAGTGCACCCAGTTTTCTTGAATTTGCTATGGACCAGCTATCTTCTTGTGGTTGGAACACACTTGGATATAGGATTTTTTTGCTGCAGCTCTTGTTGTTTCCAAATTTTCACAGCGACCAGCAGATCAGAAATGCACTGCTTTTAAGATGATGACATTTTGTTGTGTCCAAACTGGATTCCTCAGCTGAAGCATGTACATCATAATACTGGTCCCCTATGATATTTGGTTATTATTCTATATTTTCCCATTCATTTCACTGGTGTTTTGCATTGTAGCAGTAAAGTGCCTACTACATGAATAATGCTAGGAGATGCAGAGATAGCATTTAGATTTCAATATAATTAAACCAAAACTAATGAATTATTTGAGGTTAGGTAACAAATTTCAACCTAATTTGATTTTACTTAGTATATTGAATTTATGTATAAATTATTATTTTTTGAGAGGTTTTTGCCATAGGGCACATGCACTTGCTAGGCAGAGAAAGACAGAGAGACAGAAAGCGAGAAATCACCCCCCAGGGGGGATGGCCATGCTGCAATCCCTTCTCCTCCATTTTCCTTTTGGGATATTGGGCACCTATGCACATGCGCCCGGCTTGAGTTTTAAGCCACCGGGTCTGGGACTCGAACCGCGGTCAACTATGTGGGAGTCTAGCGACATAGTCATTACGCTAACTGCTGGTCCCTATGTATAAATTATTAATCAGTGTAAGTGAGAGTAGTATATGAGGGTTTTTTTGTTTACTTTAAATTCAAACAAGAAGTTTCAAATTTTTTGTCTTGGACATTTTGATTTGCCATAGCTATTTTGACGTCTTCACTTTGAAACCTCTATTTATTTGCAAGTATCTTAAACATCATGAGTTAAATAATACCTTTATATCATTTGCAAGTAATTAAATTTAACCAGGAAAATTAAAGACCCGGGAACATGAAAATTTCTATCTTATAATTAGATGGAATGGAGGAGAAAATATATCATCAAAATCAGAAGATTAGATAAAAGTAAAAGGGGAAAGAATGTCAACAAAATGAGAAACCAGGAAAAGAAAGAAAAGGGCATGTTAGTGGAGGTTCTCTCTTGTCCCTCACTTACAGTAACCTCAGCAGAGATTGAATATTAATGATAAACAATCTTTTTTTTTCTTTTAGTTTTTACTATTGGGTGCATACACTAGCTGAAGAGACCCAGACAGAGAGAGAGAAGGAAAATGAGAAATCACCCCTTAGTGGCATGGCTACTCTGTAATCCCTTCTTTTCCGTTTTCCTCTTGGGATTTTGGGCATGCAGGCACACACACCCAGCATGTCTCTCAAGCTGCTGGCTTAGGACTCAACCGCTCACTTGGCCATATGGGATCCAGCCACCTTGACTACCACACCATCAGCTGGCCCAATAATCTTTATATATGATTTTAAAAATTCTTTCAGTAACCCAGAGCACTTTGCTTGCTTTTCACTGGTCTCAGTTCCACCATTTTGTACCTCTAAATGTTGCAGTTAAGTGAAATTGGTTTTAAAATTAGTTTTGAGAACTCTTAATTTTTCATCATTTTTTATTTTTAAAAAATTTAAAAATTTGAAGCCAGCAGAGGGTGTAGCAGTTACATTACTGGACTCCCACATGGCCGACCACTGATCAAGTCCCAGATCCAGTGGCTTGAAACTCACAGTGGGCATGTGTGTGTGCATGCCCACAATCCCGGGAGGAGAATGGAGGAAAAGGGATTGTGGTGTGGCCATCCCCACTGCGAAATGATTTCTCACTTTCCCTCTCACTGTCTCTCTCTGTCTCTTTCTCTCCACACATGCATGGGCCCTAAAGAGAAAGATTTCCTAGTAAATGTGGAATATATGTGATCATATTCTTTCTGTTCAAGCTTTTCCAAAGGCAGCTGTGGAATGTTAGGATTCCATAGACATTGACATATGTTTATGCAGTCTTGGTGACCATTAGCAGAAGATTGAATTTCCACCCTTTGCTGTAGACTGATTAAACAGATGTCTCTTACTCCAGAAAAAGTCATTTCCTCTCCTTTCTTTTTTTTACACTTGCAGTCAACACTGCATTTTCCAAAATTTCAGAAAGTTTAGTAGGAAAAAAAAAAAGAGCCAGGCCTTGACTTCTGTATATTTCTGTGAGTATAGAAAGTCAGCTTTGCTAACAGTGACTGGTGAGCTGAATTCCAGTGATTTCCACAAAGCTGGCTATTTTTTTTTTTAAGAATTATTTTATTTTATTTATTTATTTACTTACTTATCTATTTTAATTTGACCAGAGAGGGACAGAGTGAGAGAGAGAGAGGGAGAGAGAGAGGGAAAGCAAGAAAACAAGCTACCAGGTCTGGGACTTGAACCGTGGTTGGCCATGTGGGAGTCCAGCGTCCTTAACCACCACACCACTTGCTAGCCCGGAAGTTGGCTATTTTCAAAGTTCATTTTATAATAGAATATGATTGTCAATTCCTGGCTTGTGGTTAAAAGAAAAAAAAATTGAGCTATATATGCCTGGAATAATGAGATTTTCTTAATGTGAATGAGTAGTCTAGTTATTTAACGTTTAATTTTAAGTATTATATTTTAAAAATAAGAGATCAGTTGCAGACCGAATGCATTTTGGGGGCATCTGTTGGCTAATTTCGCTAAGTCAGTAGAAATTGGTAGAGAAAAATTGCTACAGATTTCAAAGATTTATTAGCCTTATTCTTTAAAAGTTTTAAGTATTTATTTGTAAGCACTATGTGAGAAACTTTTTTCTGCAATAAAATATAGATGCTTCAGCCCCTTACCTGTTTTCATTTACTAGCTTTCTCCCGACTCAGGACGTTATATACACATTTTTCAGTTAGTTTGAGAAATCTAATGGACCTACATAATATTGCTATGGGAAATTATGTTTCAAGTGAAACCCAACAGCGAACCAGTGGTACTTAGAATTTATCAACACTGTAAGTAAAGTGAATGACTATTCCCTTTTACCCAGAACTGAGAAGTTTCCTGAAGACACAGACTTTTCAGTGCAAAAAACAGGATATGTGTTTACTCTGCATATGAATATATAAACATATAAAACCCAAGACGTTACTTTGCTAAAGAGGCAATGCATTGATTTACTGCATCTGGACTTTTTGCCAGAATTTGCCTATCACTTGCGAAACTTTATTCTATCCAGATTATATCCAGATCTTCCACTGGATGGCTATAAACTGAACAATCTTGTTATGTTTCTTTCCATAGGTAAGATAACTCATTATGCAAAGTGAGCTTATTTAATTCCTTGCTGCCATCTAGTGGCCATATTCAAAGGGACCTTGGGGAAAAATTTTTTTTGAAGATTTCACCATAGGGCACTGCTCATAAGAGGGAGGGTGGGAGAGAGAGTGGAAAGAAAACGAGGAGAGAAGCAGGGGAGGGGAGTGGAGGGAAGGAGAGGAGGGGAGGAGAGGAGGAGAGGAGAGAAAAGAGAGAGAGGGAAGGGGAGGGGAGGGGAAGAAAGGAGATGAGAAAAACAGAAAGAGGTAAAGTGAGAGATCATTCCCCCCCAGCACCCCCGACTGCTACACTTCAATCCTCTCTCCCATTCTTCTCTTGGGATTTTGGGTGTATATGCACAGCCTCCTGGTGTGATTTTCAAGCCTCTGGGTCTGGGACTCGAACTGTGCATTCAACCGTGTTGAGAACCCACCACCTTAATCACCACACCATGGCTGACCCAGGAATTAGTTTTAAATTTAATATTTTAATGTTTGAAGACTTTAGTACAAAATTAAACTAATTGGTCAAATTGATTTAAGTCAAAAGATAGTAACTAGTCAACATGAAGAGAAATTATTCAATGTAGACATTTTAGATGGCTTGAAAAATGTTTTTCATTTGCACTTAGAGTATCTTTCCAGCAAGATGTCTTTCATGCAGAGCTTTAAAAACTTTTATTGATGGGACCAGTAGATGGCATAATGGTTATGTCACTGATATTCCCACGTAGTCGACCACGGTTCAAGTCCCAAATCTGGTGGCTTAAAACATGCTGGGCACTTGTGCATGAATGCCCAAAATCCCAAGAGGAAAATGGCGGAGAAGGGATTGCAGCATGGCAACTCCCCCTGGGGGATGATTTCTCACTTTCTGTCTCTTGGCAAGCACATGTGCCCTATACAAAAATTTTCTCTCTAAAGTAAAAAATATAAAATAAAATAAAAATTAAAAAAAAAAACCCAGAAAACTTTTATTTAAGTCTATTTTTCATGAAGAAGAACATCCTTTTTATACATATGTTTGCATAGATTTCCATGAAATGGATACACCTACAAATGGAATACTCTGCCTTCAGCCACCTCTCCCCAAGTGTAACCACTGACTTTAAGCATCATTTTGCTTATTTTCCTATTATATATAAATGAAATAATACAGTAAGCACTCTATTGTGTGACTTCTCACAAGGCATCTTAAAATGTGAAAGTATCTCAGGATTCTGTTCAATCAATATACAGAAGCTAACACAATTAGAGAAGCCAAATGTGAGAAGGCCCATATCACTCTTTAGTATTTCTCTCTGTAGTCTTTGGGGAGCAGAAGAGAGCAGCATCTGTGTGAATGTGTGGAAGGGTGTGCCCGTATTTACATCTGGACAGGAGCAGGACTGTCATGCACACTGCCTCAAACCTTTGCAGGGAGGGGAACTTGGGGGAAATATAAAGAGGTAAGACATTTGTGGGACACAGAAATGGTTTATTATCTGTTGATGATGACGTGTATCATATTCTCGACTGTACTGGTCTGAGGTGTATTTCGTGGTGAGTAAATTCTCTTTACCATCTAAAAGATGTATAGCAATTGAATGTATAAATAATAATGATAAGTAATTTAAAAAATTTTTTGTGACTTCTATTTCTTCTGCAATGGATTGTGAACATTGTTCCATATATGAGAGTCACTTGGAGCAGAATACTTTATCATAAATGGAGGCAGGGGTGGAAGGGAGTCCCAACCTTCTGGGACCCCTCCTGGGCTTCTGTTTTGCTGCTCCGTCCTGGCCAGAGGACTGTACATCATGCTGTAAATGCTTCCCCTTTCTTTTTCCTGCAGCATTGGCATCGTCTTCGGTTTTATGGCAAACCACCAGGTCAGGACCCGGAGCAAGAGGACTTGGAGACTGGCAGACAGCAATTTGAAAGATTTGAGAACGCTCCTGAATGGAACACCAGAGGTAAAACTCGCCACCTGTCTGTCCCATGGTTCTTTGTAGATGTGGCTTTTTAGAATTCTAGTGTATGTTTGGAACCTCCTTTTAACCTTCTAAAAACCCAGTGAACTAGGGAACCAGCAGTTAGCGTAATGGCTATGTCGCTGGACTCCCACGTAGTCGACCGTGGTTTGTGTCCCGGACCCGGTGGCTTAAAACTCACGCCGGGCGCGTGTGCGTGTGTGCCCAAGATCCCGAGAGGAGAATGGAGGAGAAGGGATTGTGGCGTGACCATCCCCCCTGGGGGGTGATTTCTCGCTTTCTGTCTCTATGTCTCAGTCTGTCTGGCGAGCGCGCGCGCCCTACAGTGAAAATTTCTCAAAAAAAAAAAAAAAAAAACCCAGTGAACTAGTGTGGACTGGTGTTATCTTTTAATGCTATAGGTGAAGAGATTAAGGCCCAAAATAGTACAAAAGTGTAATTTCAGAACTGGTCATTTTGTTTTACTTAAAGATGTAACGTAAAATTATAGTACATATGGGTATATATAATACACATAAGTACTTAATTTTAAAGGTTCCTTTTTTTTCTTAAAAAGATCTTCAGGTGCAATTATTTTTTTCTTTTTGGCAGGCAAATGAACTCCTCATCATTTGCATAAAGTTGCTTTTGTAATGAAATCTTTCTGCTTTTTGAACACACATATGATATCTGTAAAGATGTGTCATTCCTTGGAAAGGATTCACACATTCTGTCTCTTACACACACATACTAAGGCACACACAAGTTCCCTTTGGGGAAGAGAAAGAGGTTGAAGGGTAGTGATGGAAGAAGGCACCTTTTTTCTGTCTCAGAAACATGTTGATCTAGAACAATTTTTTTCTTCTTTCTTTTATTATTAATTTTAAAAATTCAATCACTGTATATCATCACAGCCTACAAAATGAATTTTGCGAAGAAACATAGAACATTGCTTTTTTTTTTTTATTTCAAGTGCCTGGGGTCAGAGCCAGCCTAATGCATGATGCTCCTGGGTAGCAATGAGGGTGAAGGAGGCTCTTGATCTAGATTTAATATTTGGAGTCTACTGGAAGTCTCACACGTGGTGTGGCCTTCCAACTCTATGACATTATAAGAATATTCTTACATTAAATATTGTACTAGATTTTTAAGTCTATTTCATTTATGAGAGAGAAAGACAGAGACACACACACATGCGTGCGCACACACACACACACACACACACACACACACCACCACTTCCAGGGTCTTCCTTCCATGATCCACTCCCAGCCTCAGCCGGCCCAGATTTCAGGATCAAAATCCTGGATCTACCTGTGGGGATCCACTTGTGTCACTACTGTGGCACTGGATGGCCCTGTACTTGTTTTTATCAATAGTAGTTGGAAATAAAAAGGAGGAAGTGCAGGCATATTACAATATTGAGAATAGAGAGGCATAGTCACAGTTTTATAGCCTCTATACAAATGGAAATGTTTCCTTTTCCCAGTCTGTGAATAAAAATGTATAATATTTTTTTACCTGTCTGTCCAAAGACTCCAAAGAAAAACTTTTTCATAAAAGTTGGCAGAATTAAGTAGCTGTCATGCCTGCTTAAGTCTGGCATTGCTTTTTTAATATTAAATGATTTATTTGACTGGGCTAACATACAGGATAGTCATGCTGGGAAAATTCATTTTTAATATTGTAAAGATACACAATGATTGAATGTAAAAAATAAGAAAAATATTCAAAAATAAAAACATATAATATTAAACAAATAGTCCATTGTTATAAGTCTAGGGAAACTTATTCAAATACGTGGAAAAAAAAACTTACCAAGTTATAAAAAACTGGGCAGAGAATGTGAATAAGCAATTTTTAGAGGAACTGTAATGCCCCAGAATAAGATGTTTCACTTTATCCTAATAGTTGGAGAAATGAGGCCCGAAACACTGATGCATATTTTCACTGAGAGGATACTCAATAGTTCCTTTTCTTTCTTTCTTTTCTTTTCTTTTTTTTTTGAGAGGTTTTTGCTATAGGGAATGTGCGCTTGCCAGAAAGCGAGAAATCACCCCCCGGGGGTGGGTGGGGATGGCCATGAAGCAATCCCTTCTCCATTCTCCTCTTGGGATCTTGGGCAAGCACACACATGTGCCTGGCGTGAGTTTAAGCCACCAGGTCTGGGACTCGAACATGGGAGTCCAGCAACATACCATTACGCCAACTGCTGGTCCCTTTCAATAGTTATTTAAATATGGTAATATCCAGTGATGAGAAAAACTAGGGAGATGGCTCACTAGCCCAGAAGACAGGAGACTAGCAGCTCCTTTGGAGGCCAATTGGGAGTCATGAAATAGAATAGACCCAATGCAGTAGGCCACACATGGCTATGATTCTTGGTAGCTCTTCCTTCGAGAGGTGGATCTGTTGTTCCCTAACTCCTGGGATGGTTCTGGTCTGTTCCTGTAAGGATTTTTGTTTTTGTTTTTGCTATAGTGCACACGTGCTTGCCAGAGAAGGAGAGAGAGAGAGAGAGAGAGAGAGAAAGTGAGAAATCACCCCCCTCGGGAGTTGGCCACCCCACAATCCTTTCTCTTCCAGTCTCCTCTCAGGATTTTGGGCATTTGTGCATACAGGCCCAATGTGATTTTCAAGCTCAAGTTGCCAGGTCCAGGACTCAATCTGAGTACCCGACCATGTGGGATCTAGCACCTTAACCTCAATGCTACCTACTGGACCCACGTCTTTATTTTTTTTTAATGTTATTTCTTTCATGAGGAAGAGAAAGAGAGAGTCAGAATGGCAGAGAGAGAGAGAGACTGGCCCCTCCAACAGGGTCTTTATGCCTCAATCCACCCCAGCCTCAGCCAGCCAAAAGTGTATACACCCAGTATGTACAGAGGGACCTCAGGAGGCTAACCTGGGACCCCTCCGTATGGCCTCAGCATTGTGTGTGTGTTGTGTTATCTCATTGTGGCTGGCCCCTTATGGCATGTTTTTTGACAAGGAGAATGCAGTGGACATGACCTTATGCTGGCTTGCAGGTTAGGCTTCCAGGGCCCTTGCCGCATCTTTTTTTTTTTTTTTCCCCTGTAGGGTGTTCTGGGCCCACAGTGTAAAAACACCCCAGCTGACTGCTCGGATGATGAGGAGCCACTTAGAGAAAGGGGAAGGCATATCTGTCCCTAGTTAAGCTATCAAGAAGTCTGAATGTCAGAAAATAGAAACATCTCTAAGAAGCTGCTAGTTAGATCTTTTTAAAAATGTTCTGATTTAGGATAATTTTGTGTGTTAAATCTCTCTCTTTTTTTATTTATTTTTTTTCTTTTGGAGAAGTTTTTGCTATAGGGCATGTGCACTTGCCAGAAAGACAGAGACAGAGAGACAGAAAGTGAGAAATCACCTCCCCAGGGGGGATGGCCACGTTGCAATCCCTTCTCCTCCATTCTCCTCTTGGGATCTTGGGCATGCACGCACACGCACCTGGCGTGAGTTTCAGCCACTAGGTCCGGGCCTCAAACCACGGTCGACTACATGGGAGTCCAGCAACATAGCCATTATGCTAACTGCTGGTCCCTTAAATCTCCTTTTGTTGTGTTTTATTAATAATTAAAGTAGCTTTGGATCTTAGAAAGGCTACTTTCATGCATTTTTCTTTCCCAGCAAATTCACTATATACTGGCCCAGTACAACACCACCAAGGACAAGGCCATCTCAGATCTGAACAGTGAGTAAAAGTTAAAGTTGTCTCAGTTGTTTGTTTGATTTTGGTTAAAGATGCTATGGTCCTCTCTCATAAAAAACATGTACTGAAAAATGAAGTACATGAAAGAGGGAGAAAAACAAACAAACAAAAAAACAATTTTTTAGTTACTGACAGTTTGCAATTTATTACTTAATGATTAAAATTGAGCATTTATTGATAGCTTCTATTTCACAGGCAGCAGAACTTCTCGTTTGTTTTCGTTTTACATTTGTTGTAAACCCATGCTCTTCATTCCCAGGTGTCTAGTTAAAGATAGAAGTGAGTTCCTCAGAGAGGACGGCAGACTTCAGAAACAGTCAGGTGGGCGGTGCTAGGGAGACGCACATAGCAGAGCTTACTGGTTCTCAGTGGGGGACGGCATGTGGCAGCTGGAGACCTAATTGGTTGTCACAGTGGGTTTGGGGGCAGTGCTACTGGCACCTATTGGTTGAGGCCAATGGTGTGCTAAACATCCTGCCACCATTAGAGCTATCCTGCCCAAAATGTCAACAGTGCCTCTGTGATGAAACTTCGGTCTCTCAGGATGATAAGTTTCATGTTCCCAGTACAAATAAATAGTCTGTGAGTCTGTAGTGGTTAATTTTCCACTGGATGACAGCTAATGTGGAGACTTTGAAAGGTGTGGCGAAATCGCCACACAAGCATCAGCACCCAGATGGAGTCTAGAATGAAAAGTGGGATTTCACTCAAAAGAGACAAGACAGTTTGCCACATGCAGAGAAGGGAGGTGAGGATTGAAGAGATAAAAGGGACCTCCCTCACCATGCCTGGTGCTTTTTTGTGTTTAGGTATTAATTCATTGCTAGGAGGCAGAATTCATGAACGACTCAAACCTGAAGTGATCCCTGTTCTTGATGAGATTAAAGCCATAGTGACAGGTAAGCACCATGGCACAGTGGCTGGAAAATGTTCCATCCAAGTGTTCCAAGGCTTTGTCAGTTCAGTGCTCTTTTCTTATTTTCCCAGAGAAGTGGCTGGGGTGAGATAGGTCAAGGAAAGACACACTGTGTTTTTTGCTTGGATTTTAAATTCATGCCAAAGCTGTTGAACTAGTAGTCTAAAGGTCATTTAAAATAGTAGTGGCAGAATTTGGCAGGAGCCCATCAGCTACTTCTGTAAATAAAATTTTATTAAAACACAGGTGTGCACATTTGCTTAAGGTATAATTTATATCCACTCTTACATTATAACAAGAGAGCTGATTACTTTTTTTTTTTTAATTTTTTTTCTATTTTGGGGGAGAGGTTTTTGCTATAGGGTGCATGTGCTCGCCAGAGAGACAGAAAGTGAGAAATCACCCCTCAGGAGGGATGGCCATGCCACAATGCCTTCTCCTCCATTCTCCTCTCAGGATCTTGGGCATGCACGCACACGCGCCCGGCGTGAGTTTAAGCCACCCAGTCCAGGACTCGAACCACGGTCGACTACATGGGAGTCCAGCGACATAGCCATTACACCAACTGCTGGTCCTGAGCTGAATAGTTTTAACAGAGATCCTCTGGTCTGCAAAGACTACAATATTTGGTATCCAGCCTTTTACAGACTAAGATTGTTGAACACTGAGAGATGAGTAGCTTTTAGAATTTTAGGTCTTTTGAGGCCTATTGATTATCCTTTTCCTCCCTGAAATAACAACTTTCAGAAGCAAGGGATATAGAGAGATAAATGTAGATAAAGAAAAGCCAGGGGTTAAGATGAGCCCTAAGTGCAAGGGGGCTTTTCCTTACCTTCTTGACCCAGACATAGTCTAAAAGTGGGCCCTCAAATGTTGGTACCTTAGCTGTCTCCAGACATCTGTCTGTTCATCACAACCCATTTCCTTTCCAAGCAAGGTAACAGGCCCAGAGAAGGGTTGTGATCCCAAAGGCCCATGTGACCCCAAAAACCATGCTTACCATGGAGGTCCCCCCTTTCTTTCTCTTTTGGAAAAGACACTAGGGCCTCACCCTATCACCTCATTTAATCTTTTTTTTTTTTTTTTTTAAGAGGATTTTGCTATAGGGTGTGTGCGCTTGCCAGAAAGACAGAGAGAGGCAGAGAGACAGAAAGCGAGAAATCACCCCCAGGGGGATGGCCACACCACAATCCCTTCTCCTCCATTCTCCTCTCAGGATCTTCGGCATGCATGCACACGTATCTGGCATGAGTTTAAGCCACCGGGTCCAGGTCTTGAACCTGGGAGTCAACTACATGGGAGTCCAGTGACATAGACATTACACCAACTGCTCGTCCCACCTTATTTAATCTTAACTAACTCCCTAGAGGTTTAGTCTTTAAATATAGTCACAGTGGGCATTAGGACTTCAACATATGAATTTGGCTAGACATAATTTGGTTGATACCATTTGGGCAGCTGGAAACTGGTAGAGTTGGGATTCAGGCCCTAGTCTAGCAAGCCTGTGCTGCCTCATCATCCTAGACGAGATTCAGAACATTTGAGTTTGGGAGTGTTGGATGCGAAGTGCTGCAATGCCACCGATGGAGAGGCAATGCTATACTTGTGGAGAAAAAGTTGGGGATCTGGGGTTCAAGTGCTGGTGTGGTCAGACGCTCTGTACCCCACATCCCCTGTGAGTGGCTGCATTTGAATATCCATCTTCCAAGGTCTCATCTAACTCCAGAATTATGTAATGGTGAAGATTGTGCAAAAGTATACATGACACGGTCTTCAAAAAGTTCGTGGAAACTGCGTATTATGAGAAAGCTATTAATGGAAAATTTTTGCACCAAAATAAAATTGTACTTTCTTTTCAAAATCTATTTACATTTAATCATTGTACATTTTTATAGCACACAGTACAAAGCATAAAAACATTGCATGTCAAACAAGTCGAGGATATTACCATACACAATAACTTGTGTTACTATGTCTTGTGTCTGTTAAATGCTTTTTTCTGAGTCCCTCCCTCCTACTCCCAACTGTCTACTCCCTCCTGTACAATCTTTGGTATCTATACTAGCTGTCCCTGTTATTATATTTTCCAGTCTTTTCGTTTCTGCCATAAAATGTGGACATTCAATATATATTGAGTAGAGACATACAAAGTCTGTCTTTTATGTTTTGGCTTGCTTTGCTTAGCATTAACTCTTCTATAATCATCCACTTTGTGTCAAATAAGAGGATCTCACTTGAGAGGATCTCATTGTTTTTCATTGCTGAGTAGTACTCCAAATGTATAGGTGCCACATTTTTAATCCAATCATCTGTTCTCGCTTAGGTTTATTCCATATCTTGGCAATTATAAATAATGCTTCAACAAACGTGAATGTACAAGTGTCTTTCTGACTGAGCATTTTACTGTCATTCTATTTTTCCAAAAGCTATTTGAAGTCCCCTTGTAAATAATGTGGCACAGCCACAGTGGTGCAATGGTAGTGTCACACTCTATAGTGCTGGAAAATGTATGGAAGGTGGTGCCAGGTGTGCATGCATGTGTGTGTGAGATCCTGGCTGGCTGAAAGTGGCGAGGATGGGGTGGGGAGAGGATTGTGATCTGAGACAATGAACAGCCTGTCTCCTCTGTGTGTATGTCTCTCTCTTATTAAATAAATAAATTAACTTATTAACAACTGGTGAGGAAACCAGTTAACAACTGGTAGAGAAACCAGTTTCCTTGGGCATACATTCACACTTTTCCTTGCAACACCCAAATAAATAAACTTATTTATTTATTTAATTTTAAAAGTATATAAATGATGTGCTGTTATTGGCATATAACTTTATGTTTTGCCCAATGTTCTGATATTTTTTAATATTTGAATTATAGTGTTTTTTAGATTAAAAAAATTAAAACTGGTTCTATTTTAAAATTTTTTTTAGTCAGTCTGAATAATTTAAAGTTATCTTGTAGTATTACCAGAGCTGCTTCTGCACTGGCAAATTTTTGGTTAAAATGCTTTGCAGCCTTATGTATAAATCTCTTGTGGAAATCATATTTGGACAGCAAGACAGGAACCATAAGGGAAATGTACTATGCGTTGGTAAAATGTTAATTAACTAAGACTGAGAATCTGAAATATCTTTTCCCCTTACTTAAGATGCACAATACATGTGGGACCAGTTGACTGTGGTTTGCATCCCAGACCTGGTGGCTTAAAACTCACGCCAGGTGCATGTGCATGCATGCCCAAGATCCCAAGAGGAGAATGGAGGAGAAGGGATTGCGGCATGGCCATCCCCCTGGAGGGTGATTTCTCGCCTTCTGTCTCTCTGTCTCTGTCTCTGTTGGGCAAGCACACGCGCCCTATAGCAAAAAAATCCCTCCCAAAAAAAAGAAAAAGAAAAGAAAAGATGCATAATACATGTGATTTTGATAGGCTGGAATAATTTCCAGAGTTATAACACAGTTAAAATGTTATGGGCATGGGACCAGCAGTTAGCGTAATGGCTATGTCGCTGGACTCCCATGTAGTCGACCACGGTTCGTGTCCTGGACCCGGTGGCTTAAAATTCATGCTGGGCATGTGTGCGTGCAGGCCCAAGATCCCGAGAGGAGAATGGAGAAGGGATTGCGGCATGGCCATCCCCCCTAGGGAGTGATTCCTCGCTTTCTGTCTCTCTGTCTTTCTGGCAAGCGCACGCGCCCTATGGCAAAAACCTCTCCAAAAAAAAAAAAAAATGTTATGGGCATAAAATGCTTTGAAGCTTTGGAAAAATATATTACATTTTAGTCTATCCTGAGACACAAAGACCTGCAACCTAGAAAGTGTGCAGGCATTGCCTAGATACACATTTCCTGGGCCATCAATTTATTTTATCATGCATCATTCTTTGTTATTGTTGTTTATTTCTTGCTTTAGAATACTTATCTTCATATTGTATGTCTCCACTTAGTATATACCGACTGTCTGCTCTCTATGATAGAGATTGAAAAGTTAAAGGACATAAGAGCAGTGAAAATAGTTATGGGCACTGGAGACCATGTGGAAGGAGGTGAAAGAGGGGAAGATTGTAGGGAAGGAAATCAGGGAGAAAAAAATAGAGAAGCAAGACATTTGTGGGACACAGAAATGGTTTATTACCTATTGATGACAGCATGTATAATATTCTCAACTGGAATGGTCTGAGATGTATTTCATTCTCTTTACAAGCCAAATGATGTATAGTGATCAAAATTTTTAAATAATAATAATAATGATATAATCAATAATTTTTTAAGTCAAAAAATTTAAAAATGGGAAAAAAAAGAATAACTTATCTTGGAAGTCAAAGTGAGAAAGGCTCTGAGTGGTAAACCACAGAATACTAAAATGTGAAATGGGAATATGGAAGGTGAATTTTAGCATTCTTTTGCATACATAATCAGACCCACTTAACATGTACGATGCCATTTTCTGAAAGCTCAACCCTACAAGCCTGCAAGGACACACTAGAATAACAGACTCTTCAGTAAATGGATGACCCAACCAGCTCCTTAATTTACAAATGGGAAAACTGAGATCCTGAGAGATGAAAGAGTTTGCCAACGGTGCCATGATAAGACAGAAGGAAAACTGGAATGTGACCTCAAGCTACTTTTTTTGTTGGTTTTTTTTTCCAATTTTTTATACGTTCAATCACATATGTCCATTATCTTATAAAGTGAATATTCCAATATGAATACATTTCTTACCAAATTAAGAATACTATACACATTTCTTCAACAGATAACTCATTGCCTTGCCTCTCTATTTTTCTCCTTAATGTCTTTCCTTAGACTCTCCTCCTTCTCTTGCACTGAATCTGGTATCTATAACCATTTTCTATGTTTCTGTATCCTCTGGTCATTCATGTCAGCCATAGAGTGTGGACATTCAGTATATATTAAGTGAAGACATACAATGTCTCACCTTCACAGCCTGGCTTGCTTCACTCAGCAGTAAATCTTCCATATACACCCACTTTCTGTCAAAACGCAGGGTCTTGTTTTTAATGGTTGAGTAGTATTCAATAGAGTATATATGTGACACTTTTTCAATCCATTCTTCTGTTCGTGGACATTTGGGTTGGTTCCATGTCTTAGCAATTATGAATAATGCTGCAGTAAACATTGATATGCAAGCACTTTTCTAACTAAGGATACTTCTGTCCTTTGGGTATATATAAAGGAGTGGGAATGCTGTATCATATGGTACTTCTATTGGTAGATCTTTGAGGAATCTCCATATTGTTCTCCATAGGGGCTGGACCAATTTCCTTCCCAGCCAGCAATGTAGGAGAGTTCCCCTTTCACCACATCCCTCCAGCACTTAACATTTTTTTTTTTTAATCTTAGGTGCCTGGAGTTATGTGGTATCCATTGTGGTTTTGATCTGCATATTCCTTATAAAGAGAAATGTTGAGCATTTTATCATATGCCTTTTAGCTATTCATATGTCTTCCTTAGAGAGTGGTATTTTCAACTCATTCTCCCAACTTTAAATTGGGTTGATCATTTTTGGGGGGCAAAGCTGCTTGAGTTACCTGTGTATTCTGGTTTATCAGTCCCTTATCTGAAGCATAGTTTACAAAAATATTTTCCGATTCTGGGACCAGCAGTTAGCGTAATGGCTATGTCGCTGGACTCCCATGTAGTCGACCGCAGTTCGAGTCCCGGACCCAGTGGCTTAAACTCATGCCGGGCATGTGTGCGTGCGTGCCCAAGATCCCGAGAGGAGAATGGAGGAGAAGGGATTGCGGTGTGGCCATCCCCACTGGGGGGTGATTTCTCGCTTTCTGTCTCTCTGTCTCTCTGTCTTTCTGGCGAGCACACATGCCCTATAGCAAAAAGCTCGCCAAAAAAATAAGTTTCTCTCTTAACACTTTCTATATGTCTTCTCATTCTTTCCTTGCTTGCATTGTTTCCATTGAAAGGTCCAATGTTAGTTTCATGGGATGACCTTAGTAAGTCACTTGGCATTTCTCTCTTACCAGTTTTAGTATCTTGTCTTTATGTGTGGTTTTGGCCAGTCTGTCTAAGATGTGCCATGGAACGAATCTTCTTGGGTTGATTCTATTTGGGTCCTTTGAATTTCTTGGGTCTGGATGTTTGAGTGCTTCTCTATACTTGGAAAGTTTTCTTCCACGATTTCATGGAATAGATTATCCATGCCCTTATTAGTTCCTTCACCTCTGGGTTACCAATTATTTGGATGTTTGGATGTTTGATGGAATTTAGTATTTCTCATATATTATCCTCATTTCTTTTTGTTATTTTCTCTATCTTTTTGGTGTTCTTTTCTTGATCAGAGGTTTTATCTTCTACATCTGAGATTAATCTTCAGCATGGTCTATTGGCTTTTTTTTTTCTTTTTTGAGAGGTTTTTGCTATAGGGCGCGTGCGCTCACCAGACAGACAGAGAGAGACAGAGAGACAGAAAGCAGGAAATCACCCCCCAGGGGGGGTGGCCACGCCACAATCCCTTCTCCTCCATTCTCCTCTCGGGATCTTGGGCACGCACGCACACGTGCCTGGCGTTAGTTTAAGCCACTGGGTCCGGGACTCGAACCGTGGTCGACTACATGGGAGTCCAGCGACATAGCCATTACGCTAACTGCTGGTCCCGGTCTATTGGCTTTTAATACTTTCAAGAGAGGTTCTGATTTCCTCTATTACAGATTTCATCTCTAATAGTTCCATCTGATTCTTTCTTATGGTATCCATTTCTTCTTTCAAATCATGGAAGGATTTCTTCATCTACTGCAATTTGTTGTCTCTTTTCTGTTCCAACTCATAGAGTTTTGTCGCTATGAATTTTCTGAATTCTTTCTCTGACATTTTGGTAACTTCTGTTTTTTCAAGAGATGGAGGGGAGTTATTGTGTTCTTTCGATGGAGACATATTTCCTGTTTTTTTTTTTTGTTTTTTTTTTTCAAACTTGAGGCTCTTCTGTGACTTCTAGTGACTGGAAATGAGTTTGTTTCCCTTTTGCTGTGGATTGATGTGTGCCAAAGTCTCTCTTTTGCTGTGTTTAGCAATGTGGTCCCCATATGAGGAGTCTTCTATTCAGGTATCTGAAGACCAGTTTCTCCTTTTTTGCAGGTGGTACAGCATAGATCGAGGATCCCAGGGAGCCTCACAACACTAGGATGTTTGAAAACTATGATTCTAGACCTGTCTGGGTGGGTGGAGGATGAGGAGAAGATGACAATATAAGAGGAAAGAAAAAAGAGTATGAAAGAAGGGGCTGCAGATGGAAGTGGGTTCTACTGGAGAGCTGGCATCTGCCCTATGTTAGGAGAGCTAGGCTGGGGCTGGAGCTGGAGCTCAGGCCAGGGCCATTGAAATCCCTAAGGCTACTTTTGGCATGGCATGGTCACATTAAAAATAATAATTATTATACACACACACACAGACACACACACACACACACTTGCTCTCACACACTTGTGTATGTATGGTATGTATATATAGTTTTAACACTCGAGTTTTATGTGGTTGCTAGGGAAGGGTAGGGAAACCAGTTTCCTTGGGCATCCATTCACACTTTTCCTTGCAACGCGCAATCGCAGCATGATGCTCCTCCATCTGTTTTGTGAGCTACAGAGCAAAGACCTGATCAGGAAGATTTATTTGTTTAGAAGAAGAGCAATGCCCTTTAATTTAAATTTCACATCTTCTACTGTTATGTCTTTAAGTCACTGTGGTAAAGAAAGAGCTGTAATTCACTACACCTACAGAGAAATCTGTAGGGAAGCAAACAATTATTGAGGATTTTCTAATACTAGACTATGCCAGGCCTTGGGGCTCCCAAAATATTGATAGAACAGATTCACTGACTTTGAAGGATTTCATTCTGATTGGCCTACTTTGGGGATTTGGTCTTCCCATTTTGGGATTGGCTCAGAAAAATTTAGGGATCTACTTCTGGTTGAATCAGCAAGTGGTGAAGCTGGAATATGGGCCTGGACCTGCCCAAATCTAAAACTGTGCTAACTACTGTGCTAAACTTAACTTGCACTCTTTGAATATTCATCGTTAGACTATATTTGGGCATAGTCAGTTTTTATGCGGATTAAGACTGCTTGGAATTGGTTTATCTGAACCAACCTCTTCAAGGTGGATTGGTTCTGCCTTTGTTGGACACTTATGGCTGGTGCACCAAGGTATCCCCATTACATTCCTGGGCCACTGCTTCCCTTGACTCTTGTTTAGAAGAGACCCCAATACAGAGAGCTGAGTTGGTCAAAGTGGGTGGTAGAGGGAGTCAGCAGTTCCCTGTAGCCCTCTCTCAGCATGCTCCTCTGGATGCCATCAAAATCATTACCAAGTTCCTTTAGAACACTTTTGTAGATGTGAAGGGACCCATGCCTCTGCTGTGAAGTGGGCTGTGTTTCTACAGCGATCAAAGAGACCAAAGAGGCCCTGGAGAACATGAAGGGCAGCCTGGACACTCTGAGCAGTGGAAGCACCCAGCTGAACTACAGCCTGACTGATGTGAAAAACAGCATTCAGAGGTCACTTGGCGACCCTCTGTGCTTGGTACATCCAGTGAGTGAGACCTGCAACAGCATTAGAAAGTCTCTTAGCCAGCTGGATAGCAACCTCGACTTGACTCAGGTGAGTAGGGGTGAGCTTGTTGTGGGATGGACAGCAGCTAGGGGTAACTAGGGTGGACCTAACAGATACACATGGACCAGGTCCTCCATTAGCCCTCCTGGGTCTTCCAATCACAATTTGGAGTGGCCCAAGCAGGAGCAGAGGAGGAAAGGGTAACCTATCTTAGGATTTCACCTTTTGATTAAGCACATCAGAACAAATTCAGCTTAAACAAGAAAATAAAAAAGCAAGGTACATTCACAAAAATCTTTAAAAATTAAAAAATATTTTTAAATCATGCACCTAGTATATTAACCATGTATGCCAAAATAGAAGGCAATTCTTCTGTTTCCTCAAAAAGATTTTTAAAAAGAGTATGGGGAAACTTGAATATATAAAATCCAGGGATACAGATAAAAACAATCATGTCTATTAATGATATTTAACTTATTGATGTAGTTATATACCTTGCATTTTAAATAATATAGTTTTTTGCACAATTCATGAGTCAATATTTTTTGTTTGGTTTGGTTTTTGGTTTCTGGTTTTTGCTAAGGCCATGTGTACTTGCAGAGAAAGAGGGGGAGAGAGAGAGAGAGAAGGTGAGATATCATTACCCAGGGGGGATAGCTATGCTGCAGTCCCTTCTCTGCTCTCCTCAAGATTTTGTGCTCACATGTACACATGCCTAGCATGATTTTCAGGCTGCTGGATGTGGGACTTGAACCACAAAGACAACGTGTGGGATCTAGCACCTTAACCTCCATGCCACCTGTTGGCTCCTGAATCAGTATTTTTGAATATCACATGTAATTATCTGTGCTTGAAAAATCTACTACAATCATTTTTAAGTCATCAAATAGGTTTTTTTAGAACTTCATTGCACCTAAGTTGTTTGAATTGTTAAGCTAGTTTTTATTTTCATGTAGTTTCACATATGCAAGAAAGTTGCAAGATTAGTACATGGAACCCCTGTTTATATCTGGTAGCCAAATTCGCCAAGTGTCAACATTTTGGCTCATTTGCTTTATCATGTCATTTTAAAATTGCCCAAGGGTGTACTGCTCTCCTAAGACAGAGAGAAGGAAAAGCACCTCCCTCTTTGAGGCATGGTCATACCACAATTCCTTCCAGTTGAGATATTGGGTGTGCATCCTCAATACCTGGCCTGTTTTTTTAAGCCACTAGAACTGGGATTTGAACTGTGGTTGGACATGTGGTACCTGGTGCCCTTAACCATGAACAGTAGGACATGGACCGGCACTGTCATATCATTTCGTGTGTTTATCTGTCTCTTCATATTATTTTATATGTACACACATTTTGTATGCACACACACACACACATATATATATAACATACATTTTGTCCTTTTATCAAAAGACAAATGGGAATAAACTATAGACATTATGCTCTTATATTCCTAAATATCTTAGTGCATTTCCTAATTTTATATAACCATTATACAGTTATCAAAATTAAGACATATCACATTACCCAATACTACCATCAAATCCATAGTTTCTATTCAAATGTAAATTTTTCTGAAAATGCCATTTCCATTTATCTCTTTTTTTTTCAGTCCAGAACAACACCAAGATCACATATTACCACTGTTTTTGTTTGTATGTGGTACCTGGTGCCCTTAACCATGAACAGTAGGACATGGACCGGCACTGTCATATCATTTCGTGTGTTTATCTGTCTCTTCATATTATTTTATATGTACACACATTTTGTATGCACACACACACACACATATATATATAACATACATTTTGTCCTTTTATCAAAAGACAAATGGGAATAAACTATAGACATTATGCTCTTATATTCCTAAATATCTTAGTGCATTTCCTAATTTTATATAACCATTATACAGTTATCAAAATTAAGACATATCACATTACCCAATACTACCATCAAATCCATAGTTTCTATTCAAATGTAAATTTTTCTGAAAATGCCATTTCCATTTATCTCTTTTTTTTTCAGTCCAGAACAACACCAAGATCACATATTACCACTGTTTTTTTGTTTTTGTTTTTGTTTTTGTTTTTGTTTTTGTTTTTTATATGTTGCTTTTTCATTCCATTAATCTGGTCCAATTTTTTAGTCTTGTGTGTGTGTATGAGACATTGACATTTATGAATAAATGCTATTTACTTTGTAGACTGGCCTTTAATTTAAGTTTGTCTGATGCTCTCATGATAAATTGAGTTACTCATGTTTGCCAGGGAACTATCAGGGACTGATATTGTGCCCTTTTGTTATATCAGGTCCAGAGGAAATGTATCATGAGAGCTGGAGTACTTCATACCCATGTGTAATGCTATAAATGACTAACTCCAGAATGCTCGCCAATGTGACTATGTTACTTTTAAAAGTGATTTTTAAAGAGTTGTTTACAACTTTACTTAGCAATATTCAGTACTAAAACTGTGAGGTCGTGCGTATTACATCTGTGTTAAACTTCCTTGCCTTATTTTTAGGTGATCGCACCTATAACTTAGTGCTTGTTGGAGCCATTCTGAGCTAAGTGTGTTTTCCCCAAACAGTACTTCATTGTTCAAGAGAAACTGAGATCAGACAATACAATATAAACACTTTGGAAGTTAGATATAACTTTTTCACATTGCCTCATATTTTGTTTTATAAATTTGCAGCTCCCACCTGTGGATGCAGAACTTGACAGTGTTAATAGAGTTCTTAAAACTGATTTGGAAGCCCTGGTACAAAAGGTATGTTTAAAAACAAACAAACAAACGTGGTAGTTAATTTTATATCATTTTGGAGAGTAAACTAATAGTGTAAGAAAGTAGGAAATAGCAAAAAAACAGCAAAATTCTAGAGAGGGTTGTTAAGAAGGGCGATTATCTTCCAGGTAACTTTTCTTATTTTTTCAATTCAAAAAAATTTGTTTAGGTACTATAATGTACAAAGCACTTTGCTAAGACGTTAAGAGATCAAGGAAAACATGCTCTCTGCTTTCCTGGGGCTCAGAATTCCGTGGGGCCATGCTGGATCCAACCCTGATTCTGATACTGAGCGCCTTCCGCATTGTCTGTTGCTCCTTCTGATGTCTGTGCATTTATGCATGCTGTCCCTTCTGCCTGGTGCTCTCTTCTTTCTCTCCCTCTTTTGCATAGCTACTTAGGTTTTTCGGCCTCATATATCACCTTCTTAACAAGGCCTTTCCTGGGCACCTTGAGTAGGTCAAAATATTTTTAATACATTCCTACAGCATTGCAAGTATTCTAACTATACCTATTTCTTTAACATCTCTGTCCCCCCTCATTGGTTTGTAAGTCCCACAAAAGGCAGGGACAATGTCAGTCTAGAATACTATGATTTTTTTTCAGTAGCTTACCAATAAATGTATATAGATAGATACTGAGCACACAATAAATATTTCTCTATGGATTAGACTTACTAGAGGGCCCTGGACCTCTAGGAAAGGGAGAGAGTAATTTCGTTTTGACTCTAGGTCTTTAGCATGGGTGTAAAATAATCTCAAATATCTATGAAACACTTGCCTACGTATATTGACAAAGTAAGTGTCCTCTTGAATAAGTCATTCAGAACTCTTGGTCTTTGCACTCTGATGCCCCCTCATTTGCTACATGAAGAAACTGAACCAGGAAATCTATAAGTCCTCTTCCAGTAGTCAGGGAAAAAACACAAACTAAACCCCTTTAATTGAGTTCTTTGGAGATAATGGTATTTTCCTCTCATGGATTTAGCCCCAAAGCCATGTAGCTTGGCAAGGCGGTTATTTTTGTGTTCCCTAAAGTTGTTTGGGGACATTATCTTTTTCTGTGGGACATCTCTAATATTACTTTGTAACAGCATTGGAAATTAGACTGCTATTTCCAGATATCCATTTACATCTGCATATAGTATACTGTAAAGATCAGGGGGGTTTTGTCTTTGTTTGTTTCAGAGGATTTTGCGTTGGGGCATGTGTGCTGGGAGTGGGGGGGGCGTGGGGAGAGAAGAGAGAAAGAGACAGAGACATTGAGAGAGAAAGCGAGAAATCACCCCCCGCTCCTCCACCCAAGGAAGGATGGCCATGCCATAATCTTTTCTCCTTCATTCTCCTCCCAGGATATTAGGCACACACGCACAGATGCCTGGCATGAGTTTTAAGCCACTGGGTCCAGGACTCATACCACGGTCAGCCATGTGGGAGTTCAGCAACATAACTTCTATGCCATCTGCTGGCCCCAAATCAGGGTTTCTTTTTTTTTTTTTTGGAGAGGTTTTTCACTATAGGGCACGTGCGCTCGCCAGACAGAGAGAGACATAGAGATAGAAAGCGAGAAATCACCCCCCAGGGGGTATGGTCACACCGCAATCCCTTCTCCTCTCGGGATCTTGGGCACACACGCACACGCGCCCGGCATGAGTTTTAAGCTACCAGGTCTGGGACGTGAACCACGGTCGACTATGTGGGAGTCCAGCGACATAGCCATTATGCTAACTGCTGGTCCCCTAAATCAGGGTTTCTTAATGTCAGCACTGCTGACACTTTGGCCTAGATCATTGTTCATTGTAGGGCCTTCTGTGCATTGGAGGGTATCTTTTGGCATCCCTGATCTGTACCCACATAATGCCAGTAGTTCCTCACAATCGTAATAACCAGAACAATGCCCTGGGGACAGAATTGCCCCCAGTTGAAAACTACTGCTAGACAGATGGGTCTGTGCTTCCTCGGATCTGCGTGAGTATGTTGATTTCAAAATTATGAGAATACCCTGTATGAAAAGCTATTTGTAACACGATCTTTGATACAATTTAAAGAAAATGCTCTTTAGAGGAGATTGTTTTTAGACCCTCAGTGACCCTATAATGATCATTTCGGCCTTAGTATGTTTTATTTTTATTTTACTTCTGTATTCCATACTAAGTTGAAATGAGTACTACTCTATTGTTTTTTTGACTTACTATGGATATCAATTTATTTTGAAATTTCTTTTAGGGCTATAAATCCTTTAATGATATACCTGAGAGGGTACAAAACCAAACCGTGAGCATCGTAGCAGGTGAGATTCATAGTTTGAAGTAATTTTATATCTCTTTTTGTTAAAAGTAAAATCATCAGTTCAAACAAATGTACTGTTAAGAATTGTATTTTTTTTCCCTCTTAAAAAATAATCCCTCACTAAAACCTTGAAAACAAAATGATTACCAAAGTTATTCATTTGTGTCACTTTAGTCAGTGCTGTAGATTAGATAAAAATAACACTCCTTTTACTTGGTAACACTCCTACTGCCATCCAGCAGGCCGCTTCTGGGCGAGGGCCGCCCCATAATGGCAAGCCCCCGGTGTCTATTTTTATAGATCTTAGAACAGCCACCGTCTGGAAGGATGCATTCTAATTTCCACTGGGGAAAAAACAGCAGATTATTATATTTTCTAAATGAATTTAAAACTGATTTAAAAAAATACTGTGTGAAGATTTATTTGATCTTTTAGGAAGATTTTTCATCTGTCCCCTGATGCATTTTAGGATACTTAGATTGCTTAAAATCTTAGAGAGAATCAAAGTCGAGTTGATTCTACTGGTCTTAAATTATTGACTCATGCAATATTTACATTATGGTATTATGGTGAATGTACAGAGAAAAAGTGAAGGGTAAGCAATTTTTTGTATAGGAATAGGGATAAACCTGAATTATTTGTTTGGAGAAGAAATCCCCGAAGCTATGTAAAGCTTTTTTTCTATTATTTTTTTAAACATATCTTCTCAATGCTTTTTAAAATCTGTTTTTAAAATATTATGGTCTTTTTTCCTTAATAGCATTAGTTTTTATCAACTCATTTAAGAGTTTGGGCACAAAGTATTTTATCTTGGGCCAGTCCCATGGCCCCATAGCTAAGAGAGCTGGATTTCACGTCACAGACGGTGGTTTGAATGCTGGCTCCAGTGGCTTGAGAGACATGCCAGATAGTATGTGTACGTGCACAAGATCTTGACAAGATAAAGAAATGGAGGAGAGAAGATTCAGCATGATCACATCCCATTGGAGGGTGCTTTCTCTCTTCTCTCTCTGTGTGTCTCTCTTGGAACCACACATACGCCTTCTGGCAATTAAAAAGATAAAGTACCTACTGTATTGTGTTTTAGGTGTTTTGTGGGTTTTCTTTCATTTTCTATGAGATTCTACTTTAAAATATTAAGATATTAATGACAAAATTCATGCTTTGCCCACATCTAAATGCTAATGCATGCTCTATGTCTGACAGCCACTGGCTTACTGTTATTCCATGTGTTGAATGTCTTTGTTTTTCCTCTCTGGACCACGTTTTCCTTAGGTGCAGCCTTCCCTTGTAGGTCTGACAAAAAGAAGTGCACAGCATGCACAGCTGGCTCACTGCACAGTGTCGCTGCATAAACACAAGCCAGTGTTTTCCTAGAGTCAGGGGGATGCCCCTTCATCTGCCTCATACCAGGTGTTTATTTTCATGTCCTTCACTCCCACATTCTGATCACCCAGTCCGAGCCTGAACACAGTTTTTGAGTGCCTACTTTGTGCCAGACTCTGCTAGGTGCTGAGGATGTGAGATGAATGAGTCATGACCTCTGTCTACCTTTGAGCCAGGCATGATACAGATGCCATTTATCATACCACATATGTTCCAGGGAACTAAAGTGGAAAGAAGGTAGGGGAAGGCTTCCAGAAAAGTCACATCCAAACTGAGGCTTGGAGTAGGTATTTGCAGGAAGAGGACATCAGCCACTTACAGAGTCATCCAAGCTGGCAGGGCTGGGGAGCCGTGTTGCATGTGAGAGCAAGACAGATCGGGAAGTACACAGGAACCTTGGAGGTTGGGCATCTGTGTGTCACATCTGTCAAAGCACCAGAGTTCGAGAAGAAGCCCACTGAGTCATTTTGGTCAAGACTCTGGTATTTTCACACACGAGACATACGGAGGAAGCGACCAGTGCTGTGAATGAGTGTCCTCCTTAAGGACCACATGCAGACACTTGGTTCTTAGACACTTATCTCTGTGTCTTTGATTTTTTAAAAATTTCATATCTATGTGAAAAACACACTTTTAAAAATGTTGCTGCCATTTCTATGCAATTACATTTTAGATCATCTATACCACCTACAGGAGCCCAAGGATCAGCTAATCTTTTTAATTTCTATAAGCCATGGGTGCTCGCCAAAGAGACAAGAGAGAGAGGTGAGAAGTCACTCCCTGGGGGGATGGCCATGCCACAATTCCTTTCCTCCAGTCTCCTCTCAGAATTTTGGGCATACACGCACATGCAACCAGCCTGATTCTTAAGCTGCCAGGTCTGGGACTCAAACCATGAAACTGGTCATGTATGATTCAGTGCCTAAACCTCCATGCCACCTGCTGGCCCCAGGGAACTGCTAATCTTATCTCTGTCCCTGCTTTCAGGGCCAGAAGACTTTTAATTAATTGGTACATTCTTAGTATGTCTGTGTCATGAGTCACTGTGGAGAAAGCCAACTTCAGAACTCGTGTGACTTGGTCTAGGTGACACCTGCATCCCAGGTGATTTTGATCCTAGGACTTGTAGCACATTTTCTGTGAAACAGATGTTTCTTTGAATTTATCTTTCCTCTGAGAAATTAGGATTGAAATTAGAAACTATTTGACTACTGGGACTACACTAGCGTTTTGCATATAGGAAACACAGACATCCTTCTTTTAAAGTCTCAATTCATATGAGTCAAGTAAAATGTTCACAAAATTATCACCTACAGTCACATGTTCAAAAATGGTGTTGGAGAATCACTGTGTTTTTGATGTCATTTCTTAGATGGGAGAATTATTATTGTTATTAAATTATTTTCCAGAGTCATGTAATGGGGCTTAGGGTTAGATATGCCTGTTTTGATCCCTTTACCAGTGTTTTCTAAAAAAGAAATAATTTAACCTCTGGCCCTCAGGGTCTCTGGTAATAAAATGGGAGAATAAAAATATCCACCTCCATGGAATAAATGAATTAACATTTATAAGAGTGCCTGGCGCATGGTCCACACACCGTATTCATTTTAATCACCTTATTCATTTTGCTAGTAAAAGTAGAAGACTCTGGCTGGACTTCAGCACCATCTCCTTAAGGTCGGCACTCACAGCTTGCTGTTTTGTTCAGTAATTGCTTTTCAATGGTCTTGGCTATACTCATGCTTGTTGTAGAATCTTACCATATTTTAAATATGTATATAACATAGAAAAAACTAAAAGTGGTTCAAGATTTTGTTTGGTTCCAAAGCAAAGTTTCTATTTTCTCCATGTTTGGAAATGCATAATGAAGGATGTTTATTTTCAGATGTCAAAAAGGCCTTGGATTCCATTGGGTCAGACATCGACAATGTAACCAAGCACATTCCTATCCAGGATACACTGTCATATTTCACTGGTTATCTTAATGACACAGAAAGTTACATCCACCACAATTTACCCAAAATAGAAGAATATGATTCATACTGGTGAGTGTATGCTTTGAGTTGGTAAACTTAGAGAGTGAATCTTGGGATGGAATGGGATAAACATCTGGCATGATCTCCAGGATAATCTTTTGAGAGCAAATAGAACAAAGAGGCCTGATATATGTTAACTCTGTTTGATGTTCATTTAAAAAGTTGAATTGCTAACTGAGCCAGCACATACACTGAGATACAGAAAAGACAATATACAAAAACACAGAGAAGATTAGCAGGGCACCTCAAAAAGTCTCATGAAGCATTACTATTAAAAAGAAAAAGCTGAAACTGGAAATTCTTGAGCTAAAATTCAGTAATTTGAAACTTTAATGTCATTAGTGGCTTCTAAAATCTTAGTTATAATTATTAAGCCAGACCTGTAACAAGATTTTAAGGCTTAAAAGTAATAAGAAGGTCATTTGGAAAATATTATTTTCACATAGGTTTATAAAATAAACACATAGAAGTTGGCTTTTACTGAAAGAACACAGCTGGTAGACTTCCAGACAGGGAGGGAAGGACTTGGGGACTTGACATATTCAGAGGATCTTCTGGTATAGGATGATGCACTTTCATCTCTGAGGAGCTCAGACCCATGACTTGTCACTAAAACTATTATCACCTAAGCACATGTAGAGCCCTGAGACTCATTTGTATTTGGGATAGTTCCTGTTCAGGGACACAAGATAAATAGTAGAAATACTAGCAATAATCACTAGCATTCAGGGAACAATTCTAGTGTGCCTACAAAGTACTTTACATGCCTCTTGTGTAATGACTACAAAAGTCCCTTGGATTGTGTTCCATGTGGACAAGGAAACTGGGGCTCAAGAAAGTGAAGTGACTGAGTATGATCAGCAGAGGTGGGTGTGACAGAGGCGGGTTTAAAACTCCATCTGCTTCTGCACTTAGTCGCTGCCTGGACTCAGCAAGCTTTAAGGGGCATCTGATACATCTCTCTGTGGAGCTAGGCCACCCCAGCAAGGTACAGGACAGACAGAAGATAGATCCTTTCTCAGTAAACTAGTGGTGTCATTAGAGATTGGAGTTTCACTAATGAGAACTGTCTACCACTCACTCTCCCTGATTTGTTTCCCTTCTTCAAGACCATAGCTTATTTTACAAAGAAATTTAACTAAGCATACAATTTGTTAACTCTTTTCTGCAGCTATATTCCATGGCTTATTTAATTTTGTGTTCTCAGTATTTGGAACAAACTTCCACAGTATGGCTGCTGGTGCCTATTAGTGTAATTACTGAGATTGCTCTTAATTGAATGAAAAGCCTCAGTGATGACTTTTGTCAAGAAGCATGAAGCACAAGTAAATTCTTTTTTCAGAGTTTTTAATGTTGGGAAGCATTTCTACCTTGAATGCTCCTCGGCTGCTGGGAAAGGTTGTATACTCTGGGAATGCCAGTAAATTGTAATTGAGGATCCATTATCCTAAAATGTCTCATAAGACCATTACAAAATTGAGATTTGCCCTTTGCAGGCATTTGATTTAGGATGCTCCTAAAGTTCTAAGTAGTCCATGTGTCTGCCATGTGGAGTTCTGGCTTAGTAAAGAACACAATGTCCCCAAATAGCTCTGCAACCACAAAATATTTTAAAGAAAGGCCAAGAAAGAGAGTCCAAGATTTTCTTGTCTGAAGTCTAATCCTGATCTGTCCACATTCATCCCATCATCATTGTAAGAAGCATTTACAGCATCAGGAATATTAGAAGAACTTAAAAGTCTTAAGGATATTTTTCCCCAATTTTTTTTTTCCCATGAATGAGACACAGGTAGGGCACGACAAATCATCTAAAGACAAACACTCTCAATAGGATCCCACACCGTGATCCTTACCCCTAGCCTTACAGCCAGCCAGGATTATGGGCACAGCCTTGGCCCATAGAGGTCTGCCCAGGAACCAAACTCCAATCTCCCCTATGGCCTCCAATGGTACAGAGCTACCAATGTACCACCTTGGCTGAATCCCTAAGTTTCTTTTTCTCTTTCATTAGAGAGAAAGAGACAGAAACAGACACTACCAACGGGATCTTCATGTTTTCATCCACCCCAGTCTCAGCCAGCTTGGATCATCATGGGTGCATTTCTTTTCTTTGTCTTTCTTTTTTCTTTTTTTTGGAGAGGTTTTTTGCTATAGGGCACGTGCACTCGCCAGAGAGACAGAAGCAAGAAATCACCCTCCAGGGGGGATGACCACACTGCAATCTCTTTTCCTCCATTCTCCTTTCAGGATCTTGGGCACACACGCACACTCCCCTGGGATGGGTGCATGCACATGCCTGAGTGTGCTCATGAAGGTCTCAGAACTCCAGTACAGGACCTTTCCCTTGTGGGTCCAGTTGTGTTGCTACTGCGCCACTACCTGGCCCCTTTAAGGGGATTTAAACAAATTTATCTTTTTATTATTATTCATACATTAAATCACTATACATCATTTAGATTGTGAAGAGACTTTACCCAGCATGATATACACCTCAGTCCAGGCCAGTATTCAGTAGATTTGGAGAAGTTCAGTAAGATCTACATTTTATGAACCCCACATAATCTCTATGGAAGTAAAGGAAAAGGAAGGAAGAAATAATCTCATGACCATTGAGAAGAGAACACTTCAAGACTAAGACAAAAATTAGTTTCTCCTTAGTTGGGTTGGAGGATCACATGGGAAGGAATCTTTCCACAACAGTCTTCCCCTCTGAGGTATTAACAGAAGATTCTGATATTAAATTGCCAAGAATTACTCAGCTGCCTTCGTGGGATGTGATATCACCTGTTCTGTGTGTAACGGCACTGTACTTCCTCCCCCAGGTGGCTGGTTGGCCTGGCGACCTGCTTTTTGCTGACTCTCACTGTGGTTTTTTACTACCTGGGCTTACTGTGTGGCGTATTCGGCTATGACAGGCATGCCACCCCAACCAGCAGAGGCTGTGTCTCAAACACAGGCGGCGTCTTCCTCATGGTGTGAGTATTTGCTCCTTTGTCCTGGGGTGGGGGCTGTGCAAACTCAGGGAGGATTCTGCTCTGGTGTTCTAGGAGCCTGGTGCCTTCTGGGTTCCAGCAGAGTAGGCATCTTGGTGTGGCTGTACCTGCCTTGGTTTGTGTAGAAAAGTGTAGATTGGCTGCACTTTGATATATCTGTTTAAACACACTGTTTACATATGGTGGGTTCTTTTTGAAAAGAGCTATTGTAGAAATTATTTCCAGGTTTGCTTTCCCAAGTCTCATTGTTTATTCTCTTCATTTATTCATAAGATACTGAGCTGATGTCATCTCAGACAGCATTGTTAGCTTGAAACTCTGGAAACTTGATTTAGAACAAGGTTGCCAACCCAGACCTCTTGGGATTTAGACGAAAATCCTAAATTAGGGATAAAGATGAGTGTGTAGTACCAGGGAGTGGTGAACTTGTCACATGCTTTGTCAGTTGTCCCTGCTTTGAAGACATTCATACTCCAAGTTCGGATGTTTGGAAAAAAGCTTTATTCTAGCAAGGTCCAACAAAGCATAACAGACAAGCTGAGTGTGTGTGTGTGGAGGTGGAGCCAGAAATGTAACGAGACAGATGGACTGGCTTCAAATATTGCACAAAGGAAGCATTCTTTTTTGATTTGCTCATCGAGAATCAGCAGTCAGGAGTGTGATGGGAATCATGTGAATGGTGAAGTTTTGGAACTCTCCTGTGTAAGAGAGAACCCAAACCTCAGCCACTTGCTCCCCTCCTGGTTTACTACATTTCTTGAAGGAATGCTCTGTGTTTGCTGCTGCTGTTTCTTTATCTCCTACTAACTCCCTGACCCACTCCAATGTAAACTCCTCCCCTACCTCTGCAATTCTAAGTCCTGTTACCTCTGCATCTCCAGTATAATGGAAATGGGTATATTTGCAACAGCTGACTACTCCCTCCTTCCACAAAAGCTCTTTTTTCCCTTCAGTGACATGACACCCAGGAAGTTTTCTATTCACTTCTGACTCTACATCTTGATTTTGTCTGTGGGCTCTCCTCCGCCACCTGTTCGTTAGGTGTTGAAGTCTTCCTGGCCTAGTCCTAGGCTGCTGCTTTCTCCAATCCAGTCCCAGAGATAAATTACCCATTTTAAGTTGCTGACTCCCTCATGGATGTCTACAACCCAGATATCCAAGCCCCAAACATGTCTGCTTCCCACACCAGCTCCACTGCGGTGTCTTACTGGCAGCATGACCAACATCCACCTTCTCTTCCCTCCTTGAGTTCCTTGACACCACCCTTGGGCCTCTTCCTTCCCTTCGCCTCTCATATACATCTTTCCACCATATCTTGCTGTATTGGCCTCTCAGTTACATATCTTTCACTCACTGACTTCTCTCTACCACCACCAGCCCCATCAGGCCACCATCCCAGGCCATGCAACCTCTGCAGTAGGACTAGTGCAGCAACCTCTGCAGTAGTTCCTCATTCACACTGACACCTGTCAAACCCACCCTTCCTAATATATTCCGTGAGTTTCTTGTTCAGAGAGAGAAACTAGGTCATGCTTCTTCTGTGCTTTAAGCCCCTCCGTGACTTCTGCCTGGGTTCTCCAGACCCTGTCCAGTACTCTCACCTGCATCTGGCATTGCCATTCATGCCATTCTTTCTGGATGCAGAGTTATGCTGGTCCCTTTCTGACTCTTGAGGATACATGACCTGCCTCAGACCTCCCTACCCACCGTATCCTTCTCAGAAAGCGTTGGTTCACTCGCCCGACTCCAGAGCCCATGCTCTACACCATGCTAGACAGTGTGTGGACCAGGCACTGCGTCATGCAAGGCTCCCCGGGGTCTATGCCGTGAACTGAAAGATGACAATGCTAACCACTTTTCCCTCTTCCCTCCTGGGTAGGCTGATCTGTTTAACATACAAGATACTCCAAGTCCATTTATACACTGAGTAGGTAGAATTAGGAAGTACTAGTGGGTAACGCCACTTAATTCCTTGTAGAAGTACTAACTTCATTTGTACTTTTTTTTTCTAGTGGTGTTGGATTAAGTTTCCTCTTTTGCTGGATATTCATGATCATCGTGGTTCTTACTTTTTTCATTGGTACAAATATGGAAAAATTGATCTGCGAACCTTATGCAAACAGGAAGTTATTCCGGGTAAATACAATTTTTCTGCCCATTATGAGAGAGTTCGAATGGAAACTTGAGTTTCCCCATATTCATGGGTGACTTCACGAGCAGTGTGGAAACATAAGCAGTTTGGTTTTAATTCTGTTGATTTTGTTTGTTTGTTTGTTCATTTTTTGTCAGAGGAAAAAAAAAGGCAGTATTCTTATTTTCTTATTATAAGTTAATTCAGTGCCAGAATTTAAGGCCTGCTCATCAATGTGAATTATAATATTTTGGGAGAATAGAATTCTCCTCAGGAGTAGTTTTCAAATGTGGCTGAGAAATTAGAAGATAAATTTTCAGGTTTCCTACACACACACCTGCAAGAGACACTTTTAGAGTTACCCAATTGACAAAGTTGGTTTGGGGTCATAAATTTGAAGTGAAAGAGAATAACAGCATATATGCCTCATGGTGGATATCTCAGGGGACAGTCAGAAATTGGAATCAAGCATCAATTTCTCCCTCTACGAACAGCCACCACAGACTTGAGGGGCAAGGGGACATTTAATGAGAAAATGGTCTACATGTCTGGCTTCTAACTTTTCAGTATTTTTCAGATTCTGATTTTTGTTTGTTTGTTTGTTTGTTTTGGTTTTTTTTGTTTTTTTGTTTTTTTGTTTTTTTGTTTTTTTTTTTTGTTTTTCTTTGAGCGGTTTTTGTTGTAGGGCGCATGAGCTCACCAGACAGACAGAGAGAGACAGAAAGTGAGAAATCACCCCCCAGGCGGGATGGCCACACTGCAATTCCTTCTCCTCCATTTTCCTCTTGGGATCTTGGGCAGACACGTGCCCGGTGTGAGTTTTAAGCCACCAGGTCTGGGACTTGAACTGCGGTCGACTACGTGGGAGTCCAGTGACATAGCCATTACGCTAACTGCTGGTCCCTAGATTCTGATTTTTAAAATACATTTCTAGGGAGACCAGCAGATGGCATAATGGTTATGTCCCTAGGCTCCCACATAGTTGACCTTGGTTCGAGTCCTGAACTCAGTAGCTTGAAACTCACCCTGGGTGGCGGTTGTGTGCCAAAAATCCTGAGAGGAGAATGGAGGAGAAGGGATTATGGTGTGGTCATCCCCCCAGGAGGATGATTTCTCGCTTTCTGTCTCTCCATCTCTGTCTCTCTGGGAAGTGCATGTGCCCTATAGCAAAATTCTCTCTGGAAAAAAAATGCATTTCTATTTCTCTCTTTTATTGTATAAATGCTTTTTTTTTTAACTTCAAATCTATTATGAAATCAAGTTACTAAGGTAATGAGTTGTCACCATGGTGTTTCCTTTTTGTTTTTTTTGAGAGGTTTTTGCTATAGGGCGCATGCACTCGCCAGAAAGACAGAGAGAGACAGAAAGTGAGAAATCATCCCCCAGGGTGGATGGCCACACCACAATCCCTTCTCCTCCATTCTCCTCTTGGGATCTTGGGCACGCACGCACACAGGCCTGGCGTGAATTTAAGCCACTGGGTCTGGGACTCGAACCACAGTCGACTACATGGGAATTCAGCAACATAGCCATTACGCTAACTGCTGGTCCCCCTTGCCATGGTGTTTTAGTTATTCAGTTGGTCAAAGAAAATTAAATTGAGAGTATTAATGGATCAAGTTAGCTCAAGATTATTTTTTTTTTAAATTTCCAAATGGTGTGTGTGCTTGCCAGAGAAAAGAGAGTAGAGAAAGAGAGAAAGCACCCCTTGAAGGGGCAGAGTCATGCTGCAGTCCCTTCTCCTCCATTTCCCCCAGTTGGGATTTGGGGCACACAAGGACCTGCATCCAGCATGTTCTTCAAGCCTCAGGGACTAGAATTCAAGCTACGCTTGGCCATGTGGGATCCAGCTCCCTTAACCACTAGGCTATAGGATTGGTCTCCTTTCAACCTCTTGATAAAAACAAACAAACAAACAAACAAACAAACAAACAAACAAAACAGTAAGACATCAAGCCATGCTTTATTATCTTCCATGATGCTGAATCATTAAAAAGTAGTATTTATACCTCTCAAGCACATAGAGTCATGCACTAATATACCCGTTTTAAATGCATATGGTGCAGAGTCAGGGTATGTGTTTTATTTCATTTTGTCCAGATAACAGTAGTTAGGAGCTGGCTCTGCTGCTTCATGGCTTTATATTAGCTATTCTGAATCAAATTGTCTACTGCACTCTCATTTCTAATGTGTTTGTTATACTAAAATATTTTTAAAAGTAATTTCAATAATTCTGATTGATGCTACCCAATGGTCAATTGATTTATTGCAATTACACTATTATTTTCTACTTTTAAGTTGTAAATAATCATGATATGAAAAATATCAAAAGTATATTTAACAGGGTAGTCATTTTATCATATATATATATATATATATGTATATATATATATATATATTAATATGAAACTGCCTTTTTAGAAAACAACCCTATATATATATATATATCTTAATATGAAACTGCCTTTTTAGAAAACAACCCTTTTTAATTTGTTCTAGGTTTTGGATACACCTTATTTACTAAATGAAGACTGGGAATACTATCTCTCTGGCATGATACTTAAAAAACCAGATATTAAGCTCACTTTTGAACAAGTTTACAGGTATCAATAAATACATTATATATATTTAACTCCTTAAAATGTTCTTTTTTCAGAATGAGAATTTTGCTTCCAAAGTATTTCTTAACCTTAATGATAAGATTTTAAAGTTTCAAAGTTAAGCTTTTCTCTACTACTAGCAAAGAAATAGTAGAAATGAGACCAAAAAGATAATCCTTCCCATGGAAGCCTTTGAGACCTTGGAATAGTGATTTGCCCTTACAGCAATACTGAAGATTTGGGGGAGTCATGCTTTTCCATCTGGAATATACCCTACATGTAGACATTGATTAATAGAGATGGTCCTGTCCAAATTTTTAATCAGATAGGTGAGTCTCCATTACAGAGCAATGGCTAGATAACTAATAGTCAAGGCCAACTCTGTTGGATTGTTGAAAAAGGACTTCATTTGCCTGGGACTTCTTTGTCCCACAGAGTAAGAAAAACTTCATGTAGCTAGACAGTGGTACACTGGTAAGACATGTCACTCTGAGAGGCAAACCCACATGGGAAGGTTCTGGTTTAAGTCTGAAAACCTCCTTGAGTACACTGTCATATGCTTGGCCAAGGTGTGAAGCTACTCAAAGGCTGGGTGTAGATTGTGATGTTGGGACTCCGTTGACAGTGCTATCTCTTGTTCATGGAGGAAATTTTTAAAATTGGAAAAAAAAAGTTTTGTGACAGATTGGAGTTCTGCTTCTGGGCCTGGATGTCCAGCTTTAAAGCACTTTCTGGTGACTTCTGGTGGTGTTGTCCTGAAGCATCTTATCCCATGGTCCTGAAGCACCTCAGTATAACCTCCCCACAACTACACCCCTAATTTCCCACTCCTGCTTTCCCTCTCACTCTCTCCAGTAAGCCTTTGCTTTGCCTATTTAGCCATGATGACTTCTCAAATTCACGTCTATCAGGATGCTTGATTAGCAATGAGGTGTCCATCAAGGACCTCTTATACTCCCACTAGTACTGTCTGGGTTAAGCATGGATCTGTGCTCATCTTTGCACAGTTCATATTAGAAGACTATAAAAATGTACCCTTGAGAGTCCAAAAGGGCTAATGTGGGACTCACTTGTTAAGGTGACCTTAAGTTGTATTATTGGGATGCTAGGAGAATTCTTTTTCAAGAGCTACCTTTCCCTAAGTAAGAACCACGTACCAAGAATCAGTGAGTGGGTCCAAACCACAGACATAATATTGCCATGGTCAAAGAACTGGTCTGTGCCATCAGGCTGCCTAGGGTCCAATCCTGGCCCTGCTTATGGGGGAGCTCTGTGACTTTGGCAAATTCCATTTCCTCTCCATTCAACAGAGATAACGATAATGGGAATCTAATCTAGGGTTGTTTTAGAGTTAAGTGAAATACATGTGATTAGAATAGTGCCGGAGGGAAGATATGCTATAAACTCCATCTTCTAGATTCCCAAAATATTCAGACAAGAAGTAATGTTAGGTTACTTATACTTTTAAAGCTGAGGTATGTGTCCTGGCCTGTTCAGGGAAGCTATGTTCTAAACTCCATCTTCTAGACTCCCGAAATATTCAAACGAGCACTTGGAGGAGAGATTTTTGTCACACAATGACCAGAAACCACTGCAGAAGCACAAGAAACATGAGAAACCAAGAAAATATCACTCCCCTAAAGGAAAAGAACATGTCCACAGACAGTACCGTTTAACTCTTGGAAATGTCTGATAGGGAATTCACAGTATTCACAGTGACAAAACTAAAAGAACTGCAAGAGCTGAGAGATAATGAACTCCAGAAGACGCAGGAGAAAAGAGACAAAAAGTTCCAGGAGGTGCTGAAGTTCTTCTTTGACCTGAAAGAGGAAATACACACCATAAAAAAGAATCAGATGGAACTATTAGCGATAAAGGGTGCCATTCAGGAAATCAAAACCTCCCTCGAAAGTATTAAAAGTAGATTAATCCATGCAGAAAATCGAATCTCGAATGTTGAAAGCAAAACCTCTGATCTAGAAAAAACAACCCAAAAATCTGAGAAAATAACCCCCCAAAATGAGAATACTATATGAGAAATACTAGACAGCATTAAGTGCCCAAACATCTGAATAATCGGTATCCCAGAAGGTGAGGAAACTAATAAGGGCATTGATAATCTATTCCATTAAATCTTGTAAGAAAACTTTCCAAATCTATAAAGGCTTTCAAATATCCAGACTCAAGAAATACAAAGGATCCCTAATAGAATCAACCCAAGATCTTCTCCAAGGTATAGCACAACCAGACTGGCCAAATCTACAGATGAAGACAAGATACTAAAATTGGCAAGAGAGAAATGTCAGGTTACTTATAAAGGATATCCAATCAGGCTAACCTCAGATCTCTCATCAGAAACAATGCGAGCAAGGAAAGAATGGGAAAACGTATTCAAAGTGTTAAGAGAAAAACAGTTTTAACCAAGAATACTATACCTAGCAAGATTATCTTTTATATGGAAAGAAAGGATAAAAACATTCTCATAAATGAAACCTGAAAGAATTTGCCAAATGCAGACTCACTCTTCAAGAAATTCTGAAAGGAGTGGCCTGCCAGGAAAACTAAAGACAAATACAGAAATAAGAGAACAAAAGGCAACCAAAAAAAAAAAGAGACCAATTTAATGCTATGGACAAGAAATATCTATTAACGTTAACTTACAGGATTTAAATGAAAAGATTGGACAATGGTAACACTGCATATTTAACAGAAGAAAGTTTGAACATAATAATGAACTGGCAAAATAGAATTTTATGACTTTTGAGTGAAACTGATATTTTTATTATGCTTTATTTTCCCAATTTAAGCATTTTAGTTTCTCTTGAGTTGTTATAGGTCCAGCAATTTGTTAAAATATTTTTCTTGTTTCTTTAAATGGAAACAAACTTTTCTTCCTTCCTGACTCCTCTGGAATGGGAAAATATTTGGGAGCATTCTTATTTTGTGGCAGAAGTTATTTGCTCCACCCTCAATGTGGATGTTATTGCTTAATACTGTAAAATTGACCAACTTTGTTAGCTTAATTCATTATTTGTACATATCATTTGGGAATTTTCTATGCCATTTATCATTTCTTGCTGTGATTCACTTATCTTCTTTAATCTTACTTTCACTCAAAAGATTTTTCTTTTTTCTTTTTTTTTTTGAGAGAGAGAGAGAGAGAGGTTTTCGCTATAGGGCGTTAGGTGAATCTCAAGTAAGTCTGGGACCATAAATAGTTCTGCCTGGCAGAGAGGATTAGAGAAGATAATATGAAAGAATTCATATCATAAAATAACCTGGACTTTTCCAGCCCAGCATTGTAATCAGTAGAAATTGCAAAAGAGCAACCACACCAGAGAATTATCTTGAGAAAGACTTTGAAGGAGGAAAAATGAGACTGATCTTTGCTAGCAGATGGTATAATCACAGAATACTTGGTAGGCAGGGCTGAATTGAGAAGGTTTATGTGTGACTTGTGTGGTGGGCTTTTGCTTTTCAACAATTTGAGTAGTTGACATGTAAATATTTTCTCAAAAATATTTAAAACCATACTGTTTCTGTTGTTATAGTCACAAACAAAATTATACAAATTAATAAAAAATATTTTGGACATTATCTTTAAAATTCATTATTTTGAAATTTTGAAAGTTGCTTATTAACTGTCAAGAACTAGAGTATGAGCAAAATTTTGTGATATGTAAAGCAAATGTTTGTGGAAAAATGTAAAAATAAATAAATTAATGGAAAAAAAAGAATAGTGCCTGACATTGTAAGAACTTATTAAAAATAACACCTGTTGGGACCAGTAGTTGGCATAATGGCTGTTTCACTGGACTCCCATGTAGTCAATGCAGTTCAAGTCCCAGACCTCGTAGCTTACACACACGCTCCCCAGACCTGGTAGCTTAAACTCATGCTGGGCCCGTGTGCATGTATGCCCAAGATCCCGAGAGAAGAATGGAGGAGAAGGGATTGCAGCATGGCCTTCCCCCCGAGGGGTGATTTCTCGCTTTCTGTCTCTCTGTCTCTGTCTTTCTGGTGAGCGCACACACCCTATAGCAGAAACCTCTAAAAAAATAACATCTATTCTTGGAATTACTCATCTGCTCACATTTTCCCATCTTTGACACATAAGAATGCTGGCAGAACATAACAACCCCCAGTGCTAGTCTCTTCAGAATGCTATCTGACACACAGATTTCTCTAAAACTATTAAAGCCTTTTGAATTTTCAGGGTCCTGCTGCTGTGTTAGTGATACTACACAGATTGGTCTCCTTTTTTTTTTTTTTTTTTTTTAACTTTATGTCATTTGCCTCTTTGTATCTAGTGAAAATGGGAGACACCCTCTCTTCTGCAGAAAGGTTGCAGGTGGATGAGTTGACTGAAGGAATGCTCATGCAGTCAGCTTCCTTCCCCAGGAAAATATTTCTTCCTAGCTCATCTTCTTCCAAACCGAAGAGCTGAGTCTTTGTCCCTCCTCATGTGGCTTTCATAGCGTGTGTTTCAAGTTCAGTGACCAGACAGTCACATATCCACATGAAAGCACCGGGTGACCTCCAAAAGCTGGGGGGTAGCTCCTAATCCCTCCATGCTCAAGGTCATCTACCAGGACAAGGAAAGAGCTGGGTCCAGACCTGGTCCTAGAGAAACTGACCGTATCTCCTTTGTTTAAGTTACTCTCCCCAAAACATGAGTTTTCTTGCCCTTCAGTTTAGCTTTTCAGGTAGTGCCCCCAAATGGTATGTAATATATTCTTCCTCTTAAATCCAGGGTGACTCTTCCTTTGCACTGCAGGTGATGAAATAGCCTTGTTTGTCTGATGGCTGATAGTTCTATCTCGGGTATGAACCTATCAGCTGTTGTCTGTTCTGAGCTATGGAGAAGGAAGTCATTTTCAGATTACTTGATACAAATCACAGGATGCTTTTAAAACACTAATGACACTTTCATTTCTACTCATGATGATACCAGAGGGTCAGAGGATGTGTGTCTAACATGGCATGTTCTTTGTGGATGAAACTGAAAATACGTAGGGTGATAGCGACTCACATTGAGAATAGAATATCTAGGAAGTGACAGTGACAAGTCCCTATCCATCCAGGGACCCTTCCTGTCCTCTATATGAAACCACTATTCTTGGTGTTTGTATTACCCTCTTAGAGTTTCTTTATGCAGTTTGAATCAAATATTAACCTAACATTATCATATAACATAGTAGTTTTAATCATTTGACAGAAAACAGTTAAGCATTTTGTGAATTGTTAGATATACTTTTGGGTATTGTAAATTTTTAATGTATTTAAAAGACATTTTAGGGATGAGCAGGTGGTTTAGTGGTTAAGGCGCTGGACTCCCATGTGGCCAACCACAGTTGGGGTACCAGACCCTGCAGCTTGAAACTCATGCTGGATGTGTGTGTGTGCATGCCCAAAATCCCAGAGAAGAATTGCAGAGAAGTGACTGTGGTGTGGCCATCCCCCTGGGGAAGGGGGTGATTTCTTGCTTTCTGTCTCTGTCTCTCTGGTGAGCACACATGCCTTATAGCAAAAATCTCTCTCTCAAAAAAAGAAACATTTTAAATATATGTGCATTTAATAGATAGTCATTTTTTCCTTAGCTGACCCACAGAAGTTATTTGAAAACAAATACATACAGGGACTTTGGAGAAAGTTCATAGAAATGTGGAATTGAATTATAAGTTTATTTTGGTGCAAAAAATACTTTGAAATTCATGCATAGAATTTTCATAATATACATTTTTTATGAAAGACTGTGTCATTACTATTTATTTCTATTTTTCAATATGCGAAGTAGTACTGATGAATGATTCTTAAAATTTGTGAGAACTAACACCTACATGGTGCTTTCTGTGTGTCGTTACTGGCGGAATGCTTTGATAAACAACACTCTGTGAGCTAGGTACTTTTTTATTATTATTTATTTTATGATTTTGCCATGGAGCCCATGGGCTTTCTGGAGAGAAAGAGAGAGAGGGTGAGAACTTATCCACCACGGGGGATGGCTACACTGCAATCCCTTTTCCTCCGTGTTCCTCCTAGGACATGCTCAGGCACCTAGCATGAGTTTTAAGCTGTCAGGTTTGGGACTTGAACTGCATTCAGCCATGTGAGAGTCCAGTGCCTCAGCCACTATGCCACCTGCTGACTCCAAGGAAGATAATTTATTAACAACTACTTTTATTATTTTATGAAAACGCTGATGGTTATATAATGGGCACCTGCGTACTATGCAAAGTTGAATTAGACCCCACTTCTACTGTCAAGGAAAAAAATCTAGTAGTAAGACGGATCCACGAAGCCCTGTTGTATGGACTGGGGCGATGCTTTTAGATGGTAGGAACGTGCTGAAGCTTTTGTAGAAGCCCTAGGAGGGAAATTAGGAAGGACTAACTAAGGAAGTGGCACTTGAACAGATCTTAATCAGTGAGTAGCTAACGGCTCATCTGTTAAGAAAGGAGGAGTCGCCAGGTCAAGGGAGGGGGGCAAAGGCAGGGAAGCAGAAAGCAGTAGCTCTCCTTTGGGAGCTTTTAAATATCCCACTCATTTTGGGACCATGTACAAAGTAAAGTGACAGAAAAAAGTTCTAGTTACCATTATTCAGTCCATGGCAGTGAAAACTAAGAGTGTTGGGAGCCCTGAGATAATCCTCAGAATTCATTTTTTCCCCAAACCCAGTGTTATGTCACTTGGAGACTTTACCTTATGACTCTTAAATCATCTCATCATTTCTCTCTGCTTCCAGCCTGCCTCCCTGCTGCCCATCATCCTCCAGACATCCAGGAACATGATCTGCCACTTCCTGCCTAAACTTCCACAGCTCCCCATGGCCTTTAGCAGAGGTGTTAAGTGCCCGCCATTTCCCACCCTTGTGGCAGACACTGACAGTCAGGCATGGTCTTCTACTTAGCCCAGAGAGCCTCAGGCTCTTCTTACCAGCCTGCTCCAGCTAGACACTAGCCATCCTTTGGCATTTTCATGCGTAATCAAACCTGTCTGCCTTCCCTAGTCTGAGAGGACTAGGCCAATCTCCTTGGCCTAACGTGCCAGCTCTTCATGATTCTGACTGCTCTAGAGCTCACCACTTGTACCTCTGGTTGTTAGTGCATTCAGCTCTGGGTTGTAATGACACTAGCCTGGGGACATGGGGAAGTTGCTTGTCAGCCATCCCTTAGGGTTAGAGGACCCCGGCTGCTGTGACACTCCTTGGGACATGGCTATCTTTGCAGCAGAAATACGCATCCAATGAGGCCTGCCCTTCTTGGCTCAAATCAAGTAGGCATTTTTTCCATTTTAGAGATAGGACTGAGGCGCAAGAAGATGAAGTCACTTCACCCAGGTCTCCGAGTTAGGTGTACAGCCAAGCCATACTGACTGACTGCATGTCTGCAGCCCTGTTCCTACCTCCGTCCTCACCATGAGAGTACTCATATGTCTAACCATGTCTAACTCTGGAAATACAGAGGGAGGTGGTCTTGGCAGGGAATCGGTAAGCCCTTAATAAAGCCCATAATATACTTTTCAGTGCACTTCTTTTTTAAATGTTATTTTAGGATTTCTTATTTATATTCAGTCATTTCACATCTTAATAGTACACAATATATTCTTTAAAGTATCCATACAGTATATGATAGTCAAATCAAGGATATTACCGTATACATCATTTTTAACAGAGAACTTTACATTCCATGTCTATTAAGTAGTGCCCTTATTTCTAACAAGAATTGTTTTGTGTTTTCTTTTAATGTCAGAGCGTATGTGCACATGCCTCCCCGAGTGGAGACTGGTCATGTTGCAATTATTTTTTCCTCCAATTCTCCATCCCATTAGGATCCCAGGCAGACACAAGTACACACAGCATGTTTTTCAAGCTGCTGGGGCCAGGGTTCAAGCCCTAGTCAGCGATGTAGGATTTGGTTTCTCTATATAATGCTTAACTGTTTTACATAGGGCTGGCCTGTTTTGTTCTCTTAATGAGAATGTTTTCTTTCCCGTCTGTAAAATTTGGACCATGGCACTGTTGCAAACAGCCCAAAGGAGACAAGTGGAAGGACATATTTATTCATCTTAAAATGGTACTGTTCCCAAAATGGGACTGTTAGTCAAGTGGGGAAAGATGTCAAGTGGGGAAAGGTGTCAGAGGTAGCAGGTACCGAGAGGATTTGTGTGGCTGCTGCCGACACCCAGAAGCCAGTGTGTTCACAGACTAATCCAAGGGAAATAGCAGAACTTTTTCCTCATCCTTAGCAATGGACAGACATAGCCACAACTACTTTTTTGAGTCATGATTTTTCTGTTTATTCCCACAGTGACTGCAGAAAAAATAGAGGCATTTATGCCACACTTCAGCTAGAGAACCACTTCAACATCAGTGAGCATCTCAACATTAGAGACGTAAGTCATGAGAACCAGTTACCAAATTAACATATTGCAATTGTCTTTAAAAAAAGAGGTGAATTTTACATAAGGCAAAATTTACCATATAAAGGGGACACTTAGTACATTCACAGTGTCTTGCGGCTCTCCTCTCTGTCTATCTCACCCCACCTCCATCCAGTTGTCTTCCTCCCAGTTCAATTTTTTTCTAGCTGATAATTCAAGAGCTTCTGAAGCTTCTCACTGCATATCCTTCCAGGAAGGATTTCATTCTACTGAGGGTGGATGATCCTAAAAGAATAAGCCCCATTTGTTTTCTAGGGAAGTTGGCTCCCCAAGTCCAGTGCCCCTTTCCTCCAACTCCCAGAATTAGGCATCAGGCATGGACGGTATGACCCACCTGTCCTCATTCTTTGTGCATGGTGCTGTGGCCCCAGGGCTGCAGGGTGAGTTTTAGAGAGCTCTTCTGGTCCTTGGCACAAGGCAGAAAGGATAGATGCAGATGGAATAGATGGTCCGCCTCCCCCTTTCCAGAGCATGCTGGCCCGAAGGAAGAGTTACCAGAATCAGCTGCAGGAGCAGAGGAGTCTGTTCACCTGGACTGTCCCTACTTCCCCCTGCCTGTAGGACTCTCCTGCTCTCCTCAGCTGTAAAGGACAGAATCTAAAAAGCCTTCATTCTTCTGTACTTCTAGAATGAGATCAGATAGTGCAGAGGTGGCTCCCCATGTCCCCTGAGGCCACACGGAAGTCTGCTATAGGGCTGTGAGACCACAATAGTGTGACAGTTTTCAAGTTTGAAGAAGTGTATTTGAAAGCTGTATATGAATTGTGTATTGTCTTTTCTAAATACTCCTCTGTAACCCGACCCTAAATGGATGCCCTTCACTCATTTGCCCATCATGACAGGTCATTTTCTGAAAGGAAGCAGTTGGCCCCTGGGATACTCAGGCACTCTAAGCTTCCAGAAACTACTGTCTAGCCCTCAGAGTAGCTCCTGATTAACAATTATATTCCCATGGTCTTGGCCCAAGTAATGTTCTCCGAATGATAATATCCTGTGTCTTCCTACTACCCAGCCCTAGCATGTGCTGGGATGCCAGACTATCCTGTCCCTTCAGCATCCCTGCTTACTGAAGAGCTGTGAAGCTTCCTCTTCTATATCATACACACACACACACACACACACACACATGTTCCTTGAAGGGCTCTCCCTTGGCCCCTGGTATCCGGATACAGCTCATGTGCCACCTTATGACCTGGCCACTTCTCTTTGAGGTCTTGGAGGGTGGCAATACAGCCTCATTTTGCTTTGCTTTGCTTTCCAGACTCCGCCAAAGGTGTTTGCTATGGGAGAAGCGTGCTTGCTATGGGATGTCGAGGCAGTGGGGAAGGGGTGGGAGGCAGAAAAGTACCAGGGAGAAGTGCCCACTAAATGTCTGTGTAATGTGTATTTTTTTAATCCTGTGTAGTTTTCATGCTCTTTTAGAGCATTAAATATTATTCTGGGTGGGGACCAGCAGTTAGCGTAATTACTGTGTCGCTGAACTCCCATGTAGCTGACCGCGGTTCAAGTCCCAGACCCAGTGGCTTAAACTCATGCCAGGCGAATGTGTGTGCATACCCAAGATCCCGAGAGGAGAATGGAGGAGAAGGGATTGCAACATGGTCATTCCCCCTGGGGGGGGGTGATTTCTCGCTTTCTATCTGTCTGTCTCTGTCTTTCTGGCGAGCGCACATGCCCTATAGCAAAAAAACTCTTAAAAAATATTATTCTGGGAGACTAATGAATTGATTTATAAATTTTTTCCCATGCAGTATACTGGAAGCATAAACAATGAATTTGAAAATATGAATGTAAATATTGATAATATCATTCTGCTGGATGCAGCAGGAAAAAGAAACCTCCAGGAATTTGCTGCTTGTGGAATAGACAGACTAGACTATGCCACCTATCTGGCTCAGGTAGGACCTGGGTGTCCATGCTTTACTTTTGGAGGGACATTAAAACATTGGATATATTTCTTTTTTGCTTGTTCTTTTTTTTTTTTTTTTTTAATGAGATGACGTTCACATAACATAAAGCTGAACGTTGGACTATGAGCAGGTGACTTGGTGGCATTTAGTACATGTGGCACAACTATGGCCTCTATCAAGGTCTGGGGCACTTTCATCACCTTGAACAAAATGCCATATCTGTTACCACTTGCTCTCTATTCCCCCTCCGCCAGACCTCTCGTTACCTCTGATCTGTGTTCTATTTATAGATTTATCTATTCTAACAGTTCATATTAATGGTATGGTATGATATGTGACTTCGTGTGTCTGGCTTGTTTCATTTACCTTTGCTTGAGGTTCATCTGTGTTCTAGGATGTACCAATACTTCATCCCTTTTATGGCTGAATCATATGAACAAAAGTAATACTGTTTTATGTAGATGTGTGTGTGTAAGAATGCAGATATCTTAACCCATGTGAGTTTCTAGCCTCTATTAGCTTACATTTATGGACCGTTTTCAATTTGTTGTCTATTAGATGTTGTTAAGGCTTAAAAAATCCCAAATTCCTAACACATTATTTTTTCACATCTTTTATAGAGTGGTAAATCCCCTGTAAAAGTGAATCTTTTATCATTTGCATTTGATGTAGAAGCTAAAGCAAACCATCTGGTGAGTTAATATAGTTCCATTAAATGCTGCATCTACAGATCCCTAAGGTCAATATCTTTCTTACGGAAAGTTACCAAAGAAGTTCCTGATACCATGAGTAATCCCTTGTTTAAAAATGCCTCTCGGGCTAGTATGTGCTGTGGCTGTTAAGGTGGCTGGATCCCACTGTGTGGTTGAGTTCAAGACCTGGTGACTTGAGAAACACACCTGACACATGAGCGTGAATGCCCAAAATCCCGAGAGGAGCATGGAGAAGGGCCTGTGGTGTGGCCATCCCTCCTGGGAGATGATTGCTTACTTTCTCTCTCTGGTGAACACATGTGCCCTATGACAAACTGAAAACAACAACAAAAAATGCCTCTCTTGTGTATGGTCGGATTTCTCACCCGCAACCAATGTAATGTGACCCAGACCTCTAAAAGCACCGGAATCTTTCCAGAGCGGCGTGGGGTCAATGCAGCACCTCTGTTCTCTCCACTTAGTGCGGTGCTCTCACTGCTTCATCTCTGGATCTGCTTTTGCACCTACAAAGCCCTCCAGCTCCAGCTCTAGCATCCGCCCCAACACACGCACACTTTTCTTGCAGTACAGGGAATAGCAACTGAGGATGTGGGAGGAAGAGTCCATGTGCTGCTTTACATCACCAGTAGTAAGAGGGTAAGGGAAGGTAGAGAGGCACCAGCGAGCCCCTAAGCATCTCCTTTTCAGTTCCTCTGCTGGTTGATAACTAAGTGACCTTAATTGATTCTTTCCATCAGGCCATGATGATGAGGAACCTGGGCTCTGGAAGAGCCTTGGGTTTAAATCCTGACCCATCCTCTTCCTAACAATAGGAGCTTATGCAAGATATTTCACCCTTTTGTAGCTTAGTCTTCTCACCTAAAATGGGAGCAGTAATATCTACCTTACACGATTGTTATATGTTAATATACTAACCAATATTTAAGTGTAGGTTAATTAAAATTTCTAAACTGTGCCCCAATTTCCTCATTTGGAAAATGGACATACCATAGTGATGTGGAGAAGGAGCACAGGCTCTAGCACTCAGGAAGGACTCGTGAGTGTGGGTCATTGCTGAGAGACAATGGTCCTGTAGTTTGAAACCTGACCTCCAGAGCTGTCTCTTCCAGCCAGCCGCACCCCACCCAACCTTTGTGCTCACCTGTGTGCTTATGTCCTGGCTGCCTGTGCCCTTGTGGTTAGAGTGCTCAGGGTCAGGAAAGATAGCATTCTTCTTTGTTTATTTTGTTCTTTTGTAGCCCCCAGGAGCTTTGAGACAGTCCCTGAAAGTAAATGCACAAGCGATTAGAATGATTCACCATCAACGAGTCCTTCCTATGGAACAATCACAGGTAACGATCAACAGGATTTCCCTGTGGCCTGAACAAAACCTATTGCACCTGGTTGGCTTTCATTTAACCTAATGACACACACTTGTCACACGATGGCTCTATCCAACTGGCCGCAGTCTCAGAAATTGAGCTGGGCTATAAAGAAAACAAACTTAGGTTGCTTCACCCTCTTTTGTGTATTTCCTGTTCGTTCTGCACTTGAGTGTGAACCATGAGATTGAATCTGTGGCTATTTCGTTTCCATCGCTGTGGATCAGCCCTCCTATGCCTTGTCTTCCTATAGTTACTAATACTTTTAAAGTTCTCGACTCACTCTCACTTTACTCCAATTCTTTTTCTTCAAACTCTAGAAATATATGAAGGCAAGGGTGAGTGTTTTCTTCATGTGTCCATGTAGCTTCGTTTACTGTTTCTATGGTCATTCTTCCCTCCTCCCCTCTGTCCTTCCCTTTCTTTCTCACTGCCTTTTGCCTACTGTCCTTATTGCAATAAAGGCAGTTTGCAGCAGAGAAAGAACCTGGGCTTTGGAATCAGATTTGCCTTCAAATCCTGCTCCTCCCTCTCTTGTGTGAATTCTCAGTTTACTCATCTATAATAAAAAACATGGGGGGGCCTGCAGGTGGCATGGTAGTTAAGGGCACTGGACTCCTACATGGAGGACCACGGTTTGAGTCCCGGGACCCAGCAGCTTGTTTTTCCCTCCCCCTCTCGCTCTCGCTCATTTATTCTCTTTTTCTGTCCCTCTCTGGTCTAATTAAGATAAATGATAAATAAATAAAATTAAATTAAATAATTCTAAAAAAAACCATGGGACCACTTCTGCCCGGCTGTTACCTGTTTTATGAAAAGACCTGACCTCAGTGACTCAGTAAATGTGAGGAATTATGACTGCTTGCACGTAGGTGGTGTTTGCAGTTGTCAAGAGAACTGTGTGAGGGAACCAGCAGTTAGCGTAATGGCTATGTCGCTGGACTCCCACGTAGTCGACCGCGGTTCGTGTCCCAGACCCGGTGGCTTAAAACTCACGCCGGGCGCATGTGCATGCATGCCCAAGATCCCAAGAGGAGAATGGAGGAGAAGGGATTGCAGCGTGACCATCCCCCCTGGGGGGTGACTTCTCGCTTTCTGTCTCTATGTCTCTCTCTGTCTGGCGAGCGCACGCCAAAAAAAAAAAAAGAACTGTGTGAAAAATGGTTACTTAGTCAGTTTGCGAGGTTTGGAGGAGAATGGAAGTTCACTTGACTCTAAACATCTGAGCCTTCCAGAACTAGTTTCTTTCTCTCTCTGTCCTCTCCTTATACTTGCTAATTCTTTAGAGTACTTAGTCACAGACTCCTCCTACTGAATTTTGTTAATTGTGTGTTGTACTGTGTGCCTCACAGTTCTCTGCTATGCTTCTTTATTCATAGTACAAACTAGTTAATTTGTTAAGCTGTTTTTGCATTTTGCTTAACTGCTTTCCTTCAAGCAGACAGGACCCCTTGGCCTAAGGCAAGCCTGTCCACAAATAACAATTGTTTTGTACATGTGACCTATGATCTAGACTAGAGCTTGGCAAATTACAGCCCCCTGAACTATAACTTGTGGATGAAATCCTGCTGCCAGTTTTTATAAATAAAGTTTTATTGGAACACAGCCATGTCCACATATTTATAAACTTGGCTGCTTTTGGTTGCAAGGACAAAGTTGAGTAGCTGAACAGGGTGAGGCTCACAAAACCCGAAGTATTTACTGTCTGACTTTTTATAGATAGGGTTGTCAACAACCATGGAGCTAAGTCATTTGGGTAATCTGCTCTTGTGGGGCAGGTTGTTTTAAATGCCTTCTACTTTTATCAAACCTCACTCAGAGGGGTTTCTCGGACACCTTACATATGATGTGCTACCACTGGAAGCTTAGAATATGTATTGTTTTCTTCTTCAGATTTCCTTATACCAGAGGCAAATGAGGTATACATTGTTCCTTGTGTTTGTTGTTTTTTCTGGATTAAAGTCTTTGTGGTATAAAGTCGGATTTGATGACTGCCTTAGGGCGGGGAGAACACATGGCATGGGATCTTACTCTTTCGTGTGATGTTTTTGAAAATATTATATGTGTTTGTTCACCAGAGGACTTTATACCAAAGTGTCAAGATTCTTCAACGCACAAGCGATGACTTGATGGTAAGGATTATTTTGTTTTTCTGCCATGGCATTTTGTTATAAAATACTATACATAGAATTTCAGAGATGTTCATTTTTGCGAGTATTTAAGTAAAACTTAAAAAAGTCTCAGTTACCCACATATTTTAAACAATGAACTGGGTTTTCCTACCAATTTCTTGTCTATAAGTCCTCCTTAAATACAGCCCTTATCTTAGCAGGTTACTGTGTATAATACAGAGATGGAATCTTGTCTGATGTGCAGGATACAGCATAGAGGGCACAGGGGTTACTTTTATGGAGATAATGCTGCCTACCAAACGACCCACAAGTGTCAATGCCTTCTAACCACAAACATCGTTTTTCACTGCTAGATTGACACCAGACTTGTCCACATCCCTTTATGTTTTGTTGTTGTTTATTTGTTTTTGCCATAGAGTGTGTGCGCTTGCTGGAGAAAGACAGAGACAGGGAAAATGAGAAATCAACCACCAAGGGAGATGGCCACACTGCAATCCCTTCTCCTCCACCGTCTTCCTAGGATTTGGGCATGCTCGCACATGCACCTGGCGTGATTTTCAAGCTGCCCAGTCCAGGATTTGACTGTGGTCTGTCATGTGGAAGTTCAGTACTATAACTCCTACACCACCTGCTTGTCCCTCCACATACCTTTCTACTTAGAGATCCAACCCGAAGGAGCAACTCCTGTCCAAGCCACTTCATGTCCTCTCAGTGGATAGAAGTTCACAAGATGAATATAAACAGAGATTGTAGGCACACTGCCAATCTACCCACCTTCCATTGGCTTGAGAAAGCCACGTGGCTACGTCTCATTGGGCTGGGCAAGTACAGTCCATGTGCCAGGAAGCCATGCCAGAGCAAGTGTCGATAATCATGGACAGCTAATACAGTCTAGAAGAGGGGACATCCTGGACACAAACAATGCTGCAACAGAAACTGAGCTCCAGGGTCCTGTGTAATCATCTTATATCTACCATCCTGACAACTCAGAGAGTATTTCTTTAATGTTTTTAAAAGTTTTGCCAGAAGTCATGTGCATTAGCCAGAGACAGATATGAGAGAGATGGAGAGAATACCTTCCAATGAGGGGTGACCATGCTACAATCCCCTCTTCCATCTCTCCACTCCTTCCATATGCATACATATGGATCATGCATATGTATGCACCCAGCATGTTTTTTAAGTCAACGGGGCCAGATTCAAACTGCTTGGTTGGACATGTGGTATCTAGCTCCCTTAACCACTAATGGAGCCAGTCTGATATTTCTTAACTGAATGGAATAGACTGCCCAAGAGAGGGTCTTGGTGTAGGTCCCACAGTGAAAGCTTAAACATCCCTCCCTTTACTTTCCTCACTGAGACCATGACTCAGGCTTTTGAAGACAATTAGGTTTACCCTGCTCCAGGGCCATGTCTACACCTCTCTTCTTCATGGTTGCTACTCAAGTGTGTGTCCCATGCCAAGGGAACCTGGAGACACACAGGTGACTGAGTTCAGGTTCTTTGCTACCTCTGCCACCTTGGCATTGAGGGCAGCCTCATGCAGTTATGCTATGCCCTCCCTGAGGGACCAAACCAGGGGTGCAAGTCAAGGTGGAAATCAGCCGTCAGTCCCCTTTCTAGGCTATGTGCCCTGAAGTCTTCGGGCAGAATGGACCCCTTTTTAATTTTGTACCAAGCTGCCATGTTTGTTGATGGTAGTCTATTCTTCATGTGATATGCAGAGTGTGGGCTTTGGCATTTTTAAAAAGAGCAACAACTAGGTATGAATCCTAGCACCCTAGTGTGCCTTCTAGTTTGATGACCTTGAAGAGGGCCAGCATCTTCATCTGTAAAGGGAGCCACAGTACCTTCCTTCTAGCCTGTGAATATTTATACGGTGGTTACTATGAAGGCCCTAGCCTAGGGTCCTGCCCAAAGTCAGTGCTTGCTCTGTGCTCATCTTCTTCCTGCCCTCAGAAGCTGGGCTGGGTCTGACACCTCCTTACCAGCAGGTCATGGTGTTAGGGCGGTTACACTCCACCAGTCTCTATATCGGTGGTCTTAATTAAATCCTTTTAATTCTCAATGTGCTGCCTGTTGTCCCTGTTTTCCAGGGGAGGATGAACAAGATTCTATACTCCTTGGATTCTGCCCAGACCTTCATTACAAATAATATCTCCTCTGTTGTTGTTGAAGTGAGTTTTCTTTTTTAAAGTAAGCATGTCAGTAAGCAGGCATGTAGACATTATGTAATTAAATATTTATAGTGCTCAAGCATGCTCTAGTCATTTTAATGGTTTTGCTAATCTTTTATTTCTTTCCAGGAAACTAAGAAGTATGTGAAAACAATAATAGGATACTTCGAACACTATCTGCAGTGGGTCAAGTTCTCTGTGAGTAGTTTTTATTTTATGAACATGAAGGGGACCGTATCTTAAGACAGTAATGTCTAGGGTGTGATTTGGAAGAAATAAAATGAAATTTCCAGTAATTGACAGGAGGTAAGCAAAAGAAATGTGAAGCATGTATACCAAGATTTCTGGGGCTATCCCCAGGTCAGAGGACACAACTCTGACAAAATCCCCTCCTACCCTCTTGCTCACCTTCTTCCTTCCTTTTTTTTTTTTTTTTTTGAGAGGTTTTTGCTAAAGGGCATATGCACTTGCCAGAGAGACAGAGACAGAAAGAGAGAAATCACCCCCCAGCGGGATGGCCACGCCGCAGTCCCTTCTTCTCCATTCTCCTCTCAGGATCTTGGGCATGCACATGCACGTGCCTGATGTGAGTATAAGCCACTGGGTCCGGGACTCAAACCACGGTCGACTATATGGGAGTTCAGTGACGCAGCCATTATGCCAACTGCTGCTCCTGACCTTCTTCCTTCCTTTGAAGGAAGGATAACAAAGGGGTCAGGTAAAAAATTAAGATTGAAGTATTATGCTGCATATGAGTACTTTCAAATTATCTCAGGAGTCCTGTAGGATAGGTCTTATTGTTCTAGTGACACATGAGAACTTGGAAACTGAGGCCGAGAGAATAAAGGTCTTGCTTTTAAGCAGATACTTTCATATCCTCTTGAGCTCATCCATACAATTCCACTGTCACTTAAGGATCTTAGAGAACATGGAGATACTTTGTGTAGAACCAGAACAAAGGCAAACAGCAAGGCAAATTCTTGTTGCATTCTTGTGGATGTGGCTCAGTTGAAGTTTGCCTTTGTTCTCATCCCTGTAGATCACAGAGAAGCTGGCATCCTGCAGACCCTTGGCCACAGCTCTTGATTCTGCTATCAATGTCTTTCTGTGTAGCTACATTATTGACCCTCTGGTAAGAATTCCATCTTTCTTTTACTCTCTGATAAGAAGGAGATAAAATGAATCTACTGTCTTTATTTAACAGATTTTAATACATGCTATCATATTAGTTTTCTGCTTAGGTCTGTTACAGTTTTAGAACCTAAATCTCAAATTTAGATCATTGTGTTATGATATCTAATAGACTACTAGAAAAGTTCAAGTTCTCATTGTATACCTTTGTTCCTTACTGGAATTATATTTATAGAAGTCAGGAGACCTTCATGAAGATAACATCTACTTGTCCAAAATAGAGAGGAACAGTTATTGGTGTACAGATTACTAATATTCTTAAGGATTCTTTTTTCTTTTAGAGGGATGTTTGCTATAGGCCTGTGTGCTAACCAGAGAGACAGAAAGCGAGACAGGGGGGTTGACCATGCCACAATCCCTTCTCTATTCTCTTGCAATGTTGGGCATCCAAGCACATATACACAGCATGAGTTTCAAGCCGCCAAGTCCAGAACTTGAATCACAGTCAACTATGTGGGAATCCAGCAATGTAACCATTACGCCATCTGCTGGTCCCCTAAAGGATTCTTAGTGCAACTATGTATACAATCCTAAAGCTACACCAGATTTAATTTTCCTTTGAGAGGTGACCTTTGGCTTGGTAAGTATTAGTTGTCAGGTTTATTTCTCAGATTGTTTTTTTTAAGGTTTTTGCCATAGGGTGTGTATGTGCCTGCTGGAGAGAGATTTAAGGTTTTTGCCATAGGGTGTGTGTGTGCCTGCTGGAGAGAGACTGAGAGACAGTGAGAAGGAAAGTGAGAAGTCACCTCCAGTGGGGTAGCTGCACCTGATATGAATTCTAAGCTGCCAGGTGTGGGTCTGGAATTGTGGATGGCCATGTTGGAGGCTAGTGCCTTAACCACTGCACCACCTGCTGGCCCCTTTCTCAGCTCTTTTTGCTCCTTAGTACACGTTGACTCTATCTGTAAGCTGGTTCTCTTACTTCCTCTGCTTAAAGTCCCTCAGTGACTTCCTGCTGCTGTCACCGTAAAGATCAAGAGGACATTCTAGGCCCTTCACGGTTGGGTTCCTGACCCTCTGGCCTCATTTTGTGCTGTCTGCCCACCTTTCTCTCCACTTCCTTTTGTTTCTTCAAATATAGCTTTATGCCCCACCTCAGGACCTTTGCACATGCTATTTCCTTGCCTGGACTGCAGACTAGCACACATGCTTTCTCCTCACTCTTCCCTTCCCCGCCCTCCACTGCCCACCAGGCTAACTTCTCTACGTCTTGTAACTCTCTTGTTAAGAACAGAGACTCTGAATTCAAATTCCACTTCAGTTTCTGAACTCTGTGACTTTAACAACTTATTGACATTTTCAGAGCTTCATCGCCTAAATGGGGCTACTTTGATGGCTCAGAGGGATTACCTGCAAAGTCCTTGATGTCGTTCCTGGTACATTTCACATGGTCACTGGTATTAGTTGTTACTCAGTTTTTAGGTCTTAGCCCAAAGGTATCTTTCTTTTCAGGATGCCTTTTCTGATCATGCTAACTAGATTGGGCTCCCTTGTCCACATTCCCATAGATTTTACTCTAAAGACGTTATTGGTGCTTGGATTATATATTTGATTCTTTTGTTAGTCTCTGCCCATCTCCCTGCTCCTCACTGACATGTGCATCTGTCTGCTGGGTGGATCCTCATACCTACATGGAGATGGTGCTGCTGTTCTCTCAGTCACACAGACCCTAAGCCCAGATTCCTGGCTTCTCCTTCCTGCAACTTCTTACCCTTTAACCTGCGTTTGGCAACTCCTCCTGCTAGCATTGGTTGGAGCCCTCATTAGGGGAGCCCTGTGTTAGCCTGCTCAGTTTTGAATTGACCTCTCCCTGTTTCCAACCTGCCCCACTCACACCCATGCAGTCAAATCACCAACTACCAGAGGCCTCTGTGCAAATAACCAGGGACCACCGGAAGGGAGGTATAGAGGATGCTCAGGACAATAATAGGCTGGAGTGTTGTAGCAGGTGTAGAAAGACTCTGGGCCTCTGCATTACCAGTGAAGTAGCCTGCAGGCTGACGTGTTCCTTTAGTGTCATGGTTTTTCCTAAAAGGAGTGAGGCAACTTCTAGAAAAAGGATGGAAAAGCCTCTCAAAATAAAGTTTTAAACATAGAAAACAACTGAGGAGGGAAGGGAGAACAGATTTACTGAAAAATAGAGGTCAAAGAGTGCACTGCCACACTGAACTAAGCCAGGAATGCAGCAGAAATGCAGTGCTTAATCCATCCCATTCTGAGAGGTCCTTGTTATTTATTTATTTATTTATTTTTTTTTTAGAGAGATTTTTGACATAGGGCGTGTGTACTCGCCAGAGAGACAGAAGGAGACAGAGAGACAGAAAGCAAGAAATCACCCTGTATAAGGGATGGCCATCCTGCAAGCCCTTCTCCTCAATTCTCCTCTTGGCATCTTGGGCATGTACAACACACGCCTGGAGTGACTTTTAAGCCACTGGGTCCTAGACTTGAACCATGGTCGACTGTGAGAGTCCAGCAACATAACCAGTGCGCCATCTGCTAGTCCCGGTCCTTGTTATGTTTATGCTCCATTTTACTTCTTGGTGGTCTGGAGAGAGTTGCTTTAGTGTTATCTACAGCATTATCCAAAGGTAGAGCTTCAGACTTGAACTTCTTTTTTTTCCAAAGTTTTTGCTATGGGGTGTGTGTGCTCACCAAAGACACACACACACACACACAGAGAGAGAGAGAGAGAGAGAGAGAGAGAGAGAGAGAGAGAGAGAGAGAGAGAGAGAGAGAGAGAGAGAGAGAGAGAGAGAGAGGAGAGAGGGAAGGTGAGGAATCACTCGGCAGGGTGGCCATGCTACAATCCCTTCTCCTTTGCTCTCCTCTCAGGATTTTGGACCACACACACACACACACACACACAAGCCTGGTGTGATTTTCAAGTTACTGGGTTCAGGACTTGAATCTTGAAGCTGGCCATGTGGGATATAGTGCCTTAACCTCTGTGCCACCAGCTGACCCCAGACTTGAAATTGCAGAGGAACCTGGGAGGTTGTAGATTTTACAGCACAGGTCAGGTATAGGATGCTAGCCAGGAGTGCCGTTCCTCCCATGCCTAGTGCCTGCAGGACATGTTGGCAGTGCATGTGTCCAGCCACTCTAGACACATGTGTTCTACATGGTTGGTATGGTGGTTTTCAATATCACCCTGCAAATGGCAGTGGTGTGGACAGTGCCAAACAGGACAAATGCCCTTCTTCAAAAAGAAACATGGCTTCACTGTAGGCTGCTATTTGTCCTGTGGGATCAAGGACTCCGTGTTATTAAATAGAACTTCAGATTTATCAAGAAAAGACATTAATCTGAACTTAGATGTAAATTCTGACTTACAAATATTGCAACTATTTAGAAAGAAATACACTACTGTAGACAAAACGTGATTGAATTCAGCCTCTGGTCTACCCTCAAGATTGGTCAAATTGAATGTTGAATGTTTGAGACCTCTAGTTTCTAGCAGATTCTGTCTTCTTAACACAGTATGGGATGAGAATACTGCTGTCTCACCTGTCTAGGTGTGTAACAAGGCCTGAAAGACCAACTGGTCATCTTTACTTCAAACAGCTACCAACAGGCATTTCAGAGCCAGCTTGTGGCATGGTGGTAAATGGCCAACTGAGCAATGTGAGTCCCAGATCCAGTGGCTGGAGAAAAAAATGCCAGGCAAATGTGCATGTATGCTCAAAATCTCAAAAGGAGTGAGAAAGAGAGGAGAAAGACTTGTGGCATGGCCTTTCCTCGTGAGGGGTGCTTCCTCACTTCCCTGTCTGTCTCTCTTCAGTGAGCACACATGTCCTTTCAACCTGGATGTGCTGGTCATCCATTCTTTTATTGCTGGACAGCTGGGGCGGATACCGAATATCTGCACTTTGTGGCAGAAACTGAAAGATTGGAAGGCATAATAGCAGAGACTGCAAATATAGATTACCAGAGACTGTATAGGAGCAGGTGGACAGTGGGAAGTGAGGGACTCAGGAAAAAAATCATTTAACAAACACAAGAATGAAAAGTTATATACTGAGGTTGATATGTATGGTATCTTTGACTTGCTTGACATGCAATGTACATATGCTTTGAAAAGCCATATTGTATGCAGTAAGGCATACAGTGATTAAGTGTAAATATATAGATATATAAATACACACACACACACATTTATGTATATATAATGAAGGCCATATAGTGATGGGTGAGAAGCTATTTTGGAATGTCCTAGGTTCGAATCCTGACTTCACCAGTTGCTGCTCCTGTTCCTTTTATCAAATAAATATCATAATAGGATCCACTCAAGGATTTCAGAAAGGTTAAATGAACTGTAGTAGTATGTAGCACTTCATATAGTTCATGTTAGAGTCACGATTTTTTTCTTTTTTTTTTTTTTAAGAGAGATTTTTGCTGTAGGGCGCTTGCGCACGCCAAAGAGACAGAGAGAGACAGGGAGACAGAAAATGAGAAATCACCCCTCCCAGGATGGATGGCCATGCTGCAGTCCTTTCTCCACTCTCTTCTTGGGATCTTGGGCACACACACATGTGCCTGGTGTGAGTTTTAAGCTGCCGAGTCTGAGACTCAACTGCATGAGAGTCCAGGGATGTAACCATTTTGCCATCTGCTGGTCCCACAAATAATTTTAAATAACAAAATAAAAATCTATTTTTAAAATTGCAGAAGAAAAATTCCCCGAAGAAACTGATGTATTTTATTTCCCATCATCATGCGTGTAATCCTGCTGATGTTTTCTTTTCCCTAGAATTTGTTTTGGTTTGGCATAGGAAAAGCTACCGTGTTTTTGCTTCCGGCTCTAATTTTTGCTGTGAAGCTGGCCAAGTACTATCGTCGAATGGATTCAGAGGATGTGTATGATGAGTAAGTATCTGAAGTATGTGTGTCTCCGTGGAGACTTGGGTCATTTTCTAGATGATGGTGTCTTTGGAGCAGCTAAAGATGAACTCTGATGAGTGTATATTTGACTTTCATGTTTTTTAAGTAGTGAGCCATTCCTGTTTGGGTGGGTTTTCCTTTGAGCACTGATTGTCTTGCTCTTGTTTTAACTTTGTTTCCTCTCTCTTGGTTAATCTTCTGAGCTTCCTAACCAGCCTTCTTGCTTCTTGTTTGCAGCTCCTCTCTCTCAGGGACGTGGCATTTTACTTTATGATAACTATTTCTACTACTTTTCTTCTGGGCTCTGTGGTTAGCCCTTTTCTCTGTGTCTGGTGAACTTGCATATTTCATTTTCCCTTCCATTCATCGTCTCCACATGTGTTCTCCTGAACATGCTCTGCCAACTGCCATATTTGAGTAGAAATGTGGGGGATAGAGCTGTTGAGCTTTAACAGTAATTTTTAAAAAATAATAATTGTATCTCCCTTTTCCGTATTTTATACTGTTGAAACTGTACCCATGAAGAAGTAAGCCTTTTTTAAAAAGTAGATAAAACTACATTTATTAATGGGACAAGAGAGGTTTTATTATTACTACAGATGCTAGGCTTTTTTTTTTTGGAGAGGTTTTTTTCACTATAGGGCGCGTGCGCTCGCCAGACAGACAGAGAGAGACATAGAGACAGAAAGCAAGAAATCACCCCCCAGGGGGGATGGTCACGCCACAATCCCTTCTCTTCCATTCTCCTCTCGGGATCTTGGGCATGCACGCACACGCGCCCGGCATGAGTTTTAAGCCACCAGCTTCGGGACACGAACCGCGGTCGACTACATGGGAGTCCAGCGACATAGCCATTACGCTAACTGCTGGTTCCCCATATGCTAGACTTTTAATATTAAATTAACAACATCTTGAAATTACATTAAAACAATAAATACAACTGGGTAAAAATAAATTCTAACACCTCTTAAAAAGAGGGCTGGCATACAGAAGGTGTTCAAGAAGTACTTGTTGAATTGGTAAAAATTTTAGGTGTGCAATTTGTTGGTCTGTAAAGTAATCATTTCAATCTTTGGGAACAAAATGCAAATCTCCCCCTTTACCTTCTTTGTGGAGTTAACAAATTGTCCCATACTTTCCATGGTCATTACATTGTCTTAGTAGCCCATGGTGTAAATACTTCGTCTTGGAGATAACGTGGTGTCTTCGGTATATTTATTTTTGTTACAGTATGGAAAATGGTAATAATGGTTATCGTAAAGATCATTTATATGCCATTCACAATCCTGCTATGACAAGGTAAAGCGAAGTGTGGACGTGCATGCCTGTGCTGTGCTTTCCTCCTGTTGCTCTGGCACTGACCTCCCTGCATGCTGAGGTGTCCTCCCTTTTCTCTGCCTCATACTCTACTCTATCAGTGGCTTGTTCTACATAGCATTCCGGGATGCCATATGCTTAAATATCCAGTCGATTTTTTTTCCAATGAAATCGTTCAGCAACTAAAATTTGATGTCATCTTAAAATGCTGTGTATGCCTGTAGATCATTATGAGTTAAATGCATGCACGCCTTCTATTTAGCATTTCTCTGCACCAAATAAATAGAGGAGTTATTGTTTTCAAAACTTTCCCTCCTTTCATCCCTTTCTCGCTTTTTTTCTTCCTATAAATTAATTGTAATCAACAAAACAAACTCCAAAATCTTGATGGATTTACTTTTTTTTTTTTTTTTTTTTTTTTTAAATTAAGGAGCTTCTAGTGGTTCTGGGTATTTTGCAGGTGACTCTGAGTATTACTTGCCATAGATCCTCTTCTGAGGCCACCCTCAAAATTCAGGCCTGCACATCAACTACAGACCAGGGCAGGCAGTGGCCAGCAGGGCAGCAGTGGGCCATCTCCTCAGTGGGCATGGTCTTCCCCAGTCAACACAGCTGACTCCAAGGCCATATTCTTTGCCCTCCACCCCAAGAAATGTCTCAGGTGTAAAGGAGTGTGTCTAATATCAGAGCATAGAAATCCACCTTGGCTTAGAAACCTAAAGCTCCATATGGGATGCATCCAACTTAAAAAGTCACCACAGGGGCCAGTAGGTGATATGGTAGTTAAGGTGACTGGATACCACATGGCCAAGTGTGCAGTTCAAGTCCTGGATCTAGCAGCTTGGAAATATGCCAGGGATATGTGCATGAGTGCCCAAAATCCCGAGAGCAGAATGGAGGAGAAGGGACTGCAGTGTGGCCATCCCCCCTGGGGGGATTGATAGCTCACTTTCCCTCTCTCTTTCTCTCTCTCTCTGGTGAGCACATGTGCCATGTAGAATGCTTCCCAGAGTTAACCTTTCTAAAGGACAAATGTTCATAATTTTCTGGTTCTGTTCCTCTTAAAATCAAAGGTAGAGCACCTGCTGCTACTAGGCAACGATGTTTAAATAAGGATGGCCTGGAATGAGAAACTGCATCTGGACTGGTAGGCCCTGTGTATAAGTACCTGGTGGGAAGCCAAAGCTGAGAGCTTTCTGACTGTGGTGACTTTTCCTTTTCGTTTCTTTTTTCCTTTTCTCTTCTTTTGCTTGGAGGACATGTATGGGAGAGTACTATAGGCTGGATATTCTGGAAGCAGTGGTAGGGCGCTTTTGGGATACAACATGTTTATGACGGTTGAGAAAGGAAGGGGGAGACATCACTGTGCCAAAGCCTCAGCCCACCTGGTGAGGAGCTCTGGTGCAGGGAAAATAAACTCCAAAATCTTGATGGATTTACTTTTTTTTTTTTTTTTTTTTTTAAATTAAGGAGCTTCTAGTGGTTCTGGGTATTTTGCAGGTGACTCTGAGTATTACTTGCCATAGATCCTCTTCTGAGGCCACCCTCAAAATTCAGGCCTGCACATCAACTACAGACCAGGGCAGGCAGTGGCCAGCAGGGCAGCAGTGGGCCATCTCCTCAGTGGGCATGGTCTTCCCCAGTCAACACAGCTGACTCCAAGGCCATATTCTTTGCCCTCCACCCCAAGAAATGTCTCAGGTGTAAAGGAGTGTGTCTAATATCAGAGCATAGAAATCCACCTTGGCTTAGAAACCTAAAGCTCCATATGGGATGCATCCAACTTAAAAAGTCACCACAGGGGCCAGTAGGTGATATGGTAGTTAAGGTGACTGGATACCACATGGCCAAGTGTGCAGTTCAAGTCCTGGATCTAGCAGCTTGGAAATATGCCAGGGATATGTGCATGAGTGCCCAAAATCCCGAGAGCAGAATGGAGGAGAAGGGACTGCAGTGTGGCCATCCCCCCTGTGGTGGTGAGAGTTCACTTTCCCTCTCTCTTTCTCTCTCTCTCTGGTGAGCACATGTGCCATGTAGAATGCTTCCCAGAGTTAACCTTTCTAAAGGACAAATGTTCATAATTTTCTGGTTCTGTTCCTCTTAAAATCAAAGGTAGAGCACCTGCTGCTACTAGGCAACGATGTTTAAATAAGGATGGCCTGGAATGAGAAACTGCATCTGGACTGGTAGGCCCTGTGTATAAGTACCTGGTGGGAAGCCAAAGCTGAGAGCTTTCTGACTGTGGTGACTTTTCCTTTTCGTTTCTTTTTTCCTTTTCTCTTCTTTTGCTTGGAGGACATGTATGGGAGAGTACTATAGGCTGGATATTCTGGAAGCAGTGGTAGGGCGCTTTTGGGATACAACATGTTTATGACGGTTGAGAAAGGAAGGGGGAGACATCACTGTGCCAAAGCCTCAGCCCACCTGGTGAGGAGCTCTGGTGCAGGGTTGCCCTCACTGGGGCATACCAAGCCTTTGTACCCCTGCCTCTCTTAGTCACTGGCATTGGACTCCCTGGAAGAGACAAGACTTCAGGCAGAGCAACTCTGCACTAGAGCCAGACCTCGAAGGCTCTGACAGGTAGAGGCTCTGCTGACCACAGCTCCCACAGCTGGCAAGAAGTCCTTTCGGAGAGGAATCCAAAGTCACAGCTCCAGGACTACCTGAGAAGAAGCACTGGTGGGTCTGGAAGAGGGAGATACACCCCGGAAGTCCTGCGATTGAAAGGGAAGTCTCGGTTTGCAAGTTACAAGACAGTCTCTGAAATGCCAGGAACTTTTTAGCACACCAAAATTGCCATGGTCCCTTCGTCATTTAGAGATGTCGTTCAAGGCTGATTAAGCTTTCACTAACATTCAGCGTCTGAGCTGAGTGCTGACAATAAAGAGAAGTCTGCCGTTACCATCTCTCTCACCTTCCCCTGCCCAAGTCCGTTCCACCAAAGGAGGGCACACTTCTGTTTCTAGCATCTATACGAGAAGAGTGCAGCACCTATTCAGTGCATGGAAACACTGCCTCTAGGCTTAAGAAGCTTGCATGGCTCTCCTTATTTAATCAGCTTTTACCCACATAACTGACACATTATAAGATGCTGTAACTCTTGCATTTAATTTGCTCTATAGGAAAAGGTGATAGAAAATGATAGAATGATAAAAAATGTGAAAAAGTCACAGTTGATGTTGTAAAGTAAATGCCATTTTATCTACCTGCTAATGAACTTTTCATCTTTGGTTATTCATGATGATATTCAAGACAGATTAAATGCCCTAATTATATTAAGTACATAAGGTTTTAGGATTGCTTCTATGGTGATTCAGCTTATAATATACATGTAAAGGATTAGTCCTTGTGAAAGACTTAGCACATCCCACTGCTATGAAAGATAGCTTTAGGAATATGTCATTTGGAAGTCCCTTTTTTAATGGTCCACAGACAATTTGAATTCTTTCTACTTTCTGTAGTCTTACATTCTGTACTATTATCCAAAAGGCAAATGTAAGTGTTTTGCTGCCATAAGAGAGGAAAACCAAAGAAGCACTTTTCAGGGTAACAGTTAAATCAGGAGTTGTCCTTTCTTAAATGTTCACCTTCTAGTGGCAGCTCTATCCCTGGACTTTCATCTCTCTTTCTCTCCTTTTTTCTTTTCTTTTTCTTTTTCTTTTTCTTTTCTTTTTTTCTTTTTTTTTTTTTGAAAGAGATTTTTGCTATAGGGCACATGTGCTCACTGGAGACACAGAGAAAGACAGAGTGACAGCAAACAAGAAGTCACCTCTCCCCTCCCCCCAGGCCATGCTGCAAGCCCTTCTCTCCATTCTCTTGAGATTTTAGGATTGCATGCATACTCACTAGCATGAATTTGAAATATCTGGGTCCAGGACTCAAACTGTGGTCAGCCATGTGAGGCTCCAGCGACATTACCATTACGCCATCTGCTGGTTCCAGATTTTCAGAGACAATAAAGGAAGAACCACAGTAAGTTTTACCAAGATGTGTTTATTTTCATAATAATGACATTACCAGAAAGTCTAAGGATGTTGGAGTTCTTTTCTGTTTCACTGAGACCCTTTTTGAGGAATCTAGGGGTCCAGGTTGGAGAAGACCCTCACTCCGAGTACTTGTGTCAGTGGGGAAGTGCTATTTCATTTACTCATGCCTCAGTTTCCTCACTAAGAGCCCTGGTTGTGAGGTTACATGAGGTAACAAGGGTCAAATATCCACTTTCACCCATTGTAAGCCCTTAGTTAAGGGTTTGTGGGTCATGATAGTAACAACAGTTTTTCTTATTAACTTGACATTTCTGACAGAAGGGACTTCAAGATGATTCCAAAGATAAATGTCTTATTTGGTATTCTAGCCATTCTCAACCTCCAGTTGTTACAGAGGCTGTGAAATAAATTCCACTTTTCCTACCTGTTAATGAACATTTCAACTTTGGTTATTAATGTTGATGTAGATCAGGCTACCCTATAGGTGTAAGGAAAGAAGCCTAGTGAGACCCATGCACATACTCCTGAAAGCTTGCCTCCTTCACCCAGTGTTGACACTGACTTACCACAGAAGTTTCAAGGCACTGCCTGCATCACAGGACTAAACCAGGTCTGGCAGCAGAATGACCAAGGCATGAAGAAAATACCTGACTCTTCTTGAAAAGCCTCTGCAAATCAGGACATAAATGCTTACGAAGTCAGGAGCAGTTGGACAATAAATACTGATTCATGGGAAGCTGTCCAAGAAAACTATCCTAAACAGGAACCACCAAATGAGCTTCTGAACAGAAAACTCACTTTCATATTCTAGTTTTGTATGAAACTAATTTCCTCTCATCTTTGTTATTTCTAAAATATACTCTTAGAACCTACAAATGGTCCATCATGGCTATGGTGGGCTGTTGGCTTTTGTGGAAGGGAAAGTCAGCAGGCTTCATGTGAGCCTAGAGCAGCATGGATTTTCTTCCTAATGTGCTTCTGCCTCCCACTAATCCACAGAGCCAGTGACGGCATTTCTGTCTTAGGATTTTATTTATTTTTTTTTTTGGAGAGATTTTCGCTATAGGGCGCGTGCGCTCGCCAGACAGACAAAGATATTAGAGACAGAAAGGGAGAAATCAACACGACAGAGATATTAGAGACAGAAAGCGAGAAATCACCCCCAGGGGGGATGGTCACGCCCCAATCCCTTCTCCTCCATTCTCCTCTCGGGATCTTGGGCACGCACGCACACTCGCCCAGCGTGAGTTTTAAGCCACCAGGTCCAGACGTGAACTATGGTCGACTATGTAGGAGCCCAGCGACATAGCCATTACGCTAACTGCTGGTTCCCATCTTAGGAATTATTGATTGACTGGTTTTTGAACCCTCTCTCTGGCCTTCCATAGGCCACTGGAGACCGAAGTTGTGTTCTTACTCTTTCTAAACTCTAGGTGTTTCATTGTTTTGTTGCATTTTTTAGAGATTGGCTTATATTTCTAACCTTGGCTTCAGAGATCAAAAGAAATAGCTGCTTCCTGCAGAAGCACGGTGAGGCACCTGTGTCAGTCTGGCAGCTCTGGGAATGGGGCCCGGACATGGCCAAGCATCATCCTGTGCAGCCCTTGCATCTGCCGTTACCGCCTCCTTTTACAGATAGCCTCGGGACATCAGGGTCACGTCCAAGGCTCCACAGCCAGTCAGGGGCAATACCAAGATTGAACAAGTCTTTCTCCTGCCTCCCAGAGGCAGTGGGGCATAAAAACGGAGCCAAAACCATGGTGGAAAAACTGCAAAGAAATTCAATAGTTTTTCTTATTCTTCACAAAATAAGAATAGATAAGAGGTGAATATTGCCAGAAAGTCTAGTTTCTCCAGATAGGAAAGAAATCTTATATTAACATGAAATCTCCCTTTTTACTTTTTTTTAAAAAATAAGGAATTATTTATTTAATTTTATTTATTATTATTTTTAAATTTGCTATAGTGCACATGCACTCACCAGAGAGAGACAGAGAGAGAGAAAGTGAGGACTTGAACCACAGTTGGCCATGTGGAAATCCCTCACCTCCACCACCATGCCATCTGCTGGCCCCAAAGTCCCCCTTTTTAATGTTAACAAATAGTCTTGAGGGAAAATACCATCCGACTGCAAAAAAATAGATGTGCAAATCACTACCAGTGACTTCTGCTAAGGAGGGTGTTCTTCATGGTGATTCTATAGGAGAGTATACCTGCATTTCTATAGCTGGAGGAAGCACAGGTGGAGGCCAGGGGAGCAAAGGCCTACTCTCACCTGTGCATGCTTGGATTGCCCTCCACATGTGATGTCTAGGTCTGGGAGACCAGGACCTTCTGTTTTCCATAAAGGTGATAGTACATGGGTAACAAACAGATCATGCCTCCTGTCTGGCAGGCAGGTTACCCAGAACCCTCTGTTGTCTGTGAACTGGAAATTGAATCTACACTAACCTGACAAGTGCCACTGTGGGTGTGTGCTGTTGCTCTGGGAAGAAGGGTGTCATATATGGGATCCTTTTACTTTTATTATTTTATTGTGTTGGGTGCCCATGAAGTTCTAGTTCAGATCCCAAATCCATGGTAAGAAGACTTGAACCCTCTGGAAATGATCCATTGTTGCCTTCACTTCAGGAGCTTCCAAGAGAAGTTTTAGTCGCTTGGACTGGTTTGCATGCTGCTTCTCCTGGTCTGTGGTCTCCAGAACACAGTTCCTAAATGGTATGGTGCATACCTTCTGCAGGCCCCACAGAGGCACACAAATGTTCAGGAGGGAAAGA